AGAGGCTAGGAAAAGCTCATTTAGGCTCCAAAAACAATTAAATTGGAAAGGAACCAAACAATTCGGGCACACAACCATAATCAATAAAATCAGACACCCATTATTAGAAATGAGGACTGACTACATGATCCCGGAAACAATCTTCACAACTTCCTATAAAGTCTCAACAGACTATAAAGGAGAGGAAGAACACAGGAAAGCACCAGATACAATGATATGGTATACGGATGGCTCCAAAACAAACGAAGGAACCGGATCAGGCGTTTTCTGTACAAGCCCAAAATATGAGCAATCAAACTCATTAGGGAAGTATACTTCGGTCTTTCAAGCAGAAATACATGTCATCAACGCTTGTGTCCTGGAAAATCTTAAAAGAGGTTACACTGACAAAAAAATCCTCATAAGATCAGACAGTCAAGCAGATATTAAAGCATTGGCATGTAAAAGAATTACATCAAAACTAGTCAGTGAATGTATCCAAAATCTCCAAAACCTGGGAAAACACAACAACCTGATGATATCTTGGGTGCCAGGGCACAGGGGAATTCTGGGTAACGAAGAGGCGGACAAACTGGCCAGAAGAGGATCTGCAAGACCATACATAGGCCCCGAACCTATCCTTGGGATAACAAAAACAAACATAGAATCCTCCGTCGCAGAATGGATCCAAACAAAACAAAGAGAGAAGTGAATAAACTCTAGCGGTGCTAGACATAGTAAACGTATGCTGAAACAACCCTCACCAAAATTGGCAAAAACACTGCTGCAATTGGAGAGGGCAAAACTCAGAGGAGTGGTGGGACTACTAACCGGTCACTGGTATCTGAAAAAACATCTACACAACATGGGTATATACAGCGATGACCCCATTTGCAGATTATGTAATGAGGAGGAGGAAACAGCCACTCATATCATCTTCGAATGCAAAGCAACATCTCAATGGAGGTTTAACCTAACGTACGAAAAAGACTGAGGGAGCCAAATTGCAGCAATAACAGTCAATGACCTGATACTTCTGAGAAGAAGGATTGAGTCTATTGACTAAACTAGGGAACTGGGAAGGTACATAAGCCAGAAGGCTGCAGTGCCTGGGGAACACAAGCCCCGCTTCCCGGCATCCCTTCCACCATACCATACCATACCATACCAAGGTATTGGCCGAGATAAAAAAGTCAGGGTCACGAGCGGGATTCGAACCCATGACCTTCGGCTAAATACGCCGCTGCTCTACCACTTGGGCTATCCGATTGGATCGAAGTCATGATAGCTCAAGTGGTAGAGCAGCGGCATATTTAGCCGAAGGTCGTGGGTTCGAATCCCGCTCCTGACCCTGACTTTTTTATCTTAATCAATACCTTTTTTTAATTTTTTTATACCAATACCTTACTTAAAGATTAATTACATAACTAATGTTGTAATGTTGTATTCCGAAACAAAATTTTTAGTTATAAGTAAATTATTTTAATTTATTGTAATTATTGAATGTTGTAATACAAACCCAAGAAACATCGGTTTTATAATTAATAAAGTTATTATGTAATTATGAATTAGATATAAAGTACATATTTGATTAAGTGATAGGGAGAAGTTTGTTTCGCTTGTTTTTATTTTTTTATTTTTTTTTCACCGCTCTTTTACAAAAATGGCTTTAAATTAAAAATGGGTACAAATATCAGAAATTCATTTGGAAAATGGTAAAGTTCCATGTTTTACGATATGCGATTCCGCTCTGTTTGGTAAAGTCAGGTGATAAAATATTTAAAATTTGTATTTTTATATACATCTGAGCGACCTACGAAACTAAATCTTCTCTCAAATAAATAGAAAAGCTCCCATTGTTATTTTTCATTTTAATAGGTTTTACTGTTTCACTTGTGAAAACCGGCGGCTGTTACGGACATGAGGCGGGCTTCGTTTAAGTTCGGCCTCACGCCTCGTGCCAGACACAGATTAAGTCATATCGGTGAGAAAACAGATATATTTGTAAAATAAGTAAATAGGCGGAAGGAGACGCGAGTGGGTGATTCTAGAAAGATATATTATCACAGCGTTTTATCATCTCTTCCGGCCGCTTAACTCATCCGACTGAGGATATCAGAAAAGCACAATACAAATATATATTTAAATACAACGCGGAAGTCACACACCGGCTATATTTTATTCATTTAAAGAAATATGAACAGTATGAGATATTTTAGAGATTATTTTTAGTAACTTAGAGGTAAACATATGGCTAGTACGAGTAGCCAATTTCTCAACCCACCGCTTAAAAAAAGTTGTATTAAGGTTGAGTTAGATTTGTTGCCGAGATGGTTAAAGAGCCATATGCACTGCGCCTGTAAGAATAACTATAAATATATGACCTTCAGGCTTTTTATTAGTTTCAATAGCTAAAGTTATATGTGCTGGTTTGAGCTTTTCTTTATTTTCTTGGCAAAACTTACTTAACTTCTACAACACCCAATATTTTCATATGTCTATATAGTCCGCAATGCCTAGTTAACCTGCAATAATCTTATTTTTTCCATCTTTGATGCAGTAGGTCTGTTATAGATGTAGAAGTATTTGTAGGGGTGTGTAATATACTGCGCCCTTGAAGACCTGTTGTATCTCCCATTCTGTGCCTATGGCATACCGGTGTGTCCTAATTCATCGAGGAATTTGATTAGTAAATCCGGTTTCAGTGGTTGAATTTCTTCTACGGTCACATTGTCCCAAAGCACTTCCTCCTGCGGGTAAGTGTAGCGCCACAGTTTGTTAATAGGCGTGTTGGTGTCTCCTCTGCTTCTTGGCAGAATCTGCACGTCTTGGGTTATACCGATCTTCTTTAAATGTCCGTTTAGTTTGCAGCGTCCTGTTAAGAATCCTGTTAGCATTCGCAGTTTTCTCCATCCTTCCTTTGATACATTCTATTACTTCTTTCATACCAAAATTTGTTAGGCGGTTCTTGGATTGTTTGTGTCCAATGAGTGAGTTCCATTGTTCCATAAGTTTCTTTTTATCCTTTTTTCTGAGGTAGTTCTGTTGTAAATTAGGATAGATTTTCTTGGAAAATTTATCCTGAGGCGTTCCACATTAGGTCATTAGGTTTGGCTCATTCGGCAATTAACCTTCTTTTGGCAGATGCTACAGTTCATCTTTCGTTTAACATTTTCAAAGGTAAATTGTCAGCTTTCTCCTTGATGTCTGCGAGGTGATGAGAATATACTTTGGTCGTTTCTGAACATCCAGTCCGATCATGATACTTAGCACAATCACAACTAAAGACGCTGAAATAAATCTGGAAGATAGGTCAACCAGGATGACGGTGACGATGAACATTGTAAACTGGTTGATGAAGCGGCTAAAAGGCTTCTTGCACAGTGTCTATGAAATGGGATGAAATTCTCCACAAAGAAGGGTGGCACATTAGATAAATAGATCTAGGTTAAGCCTTTTGATTTTTATGGCCATGATTGCCTTCTGCGTTTACCAATATTTCCATACATCAGGTAAAAGTGGCATCCATTCGGCAAAAGCAACGAGGTTAGGTCAACCAGAATGATGTTGATGAAATAGATAGATCTAGATTGTAGATTTGTTACTGAAGTGGTTAAAGAGCCTTTTACACTGCGTTCATCACGTGGAACTATACGTACCCCTCAACATAGAGGTTCTGCCTCACTGGATAAAATTTACTGTAGTTTTATTCTCTTCTTAGAAGAACTTACCCTCTTCTATCACTAATAATATTTTCTATCCGTATTGAATCGGCAATGTTCAGTTTTCAGACTTACAATAATGCTTGGTTTTTTTCGTGGTTTAATTAATGCAGCAGGACTTCTGGTTGTTCTGTCCTGATGATGACGTCGCTGTAGATTTGTTGAACGTGATGGCTAAAGCGCTTTTTGCACTGCGTTTATCCTCTTTCTTGAGGAAATCTTTTTCCTGCTCTGCCTCTTTAAGTTTGATCAATTCGGCTAGTACTCCTCTTTATGGCAGGTGCTATAGCATAGATTGAGTTTAATATTTTAAAATTAAATTGTGACACTGCGGATAAACTAGGTTGATGGTGACCATGAAGATTCGATTGTAGATTTGTTGCTGATGTGGCTTGCACCATAGATCCATTTGCACAGCGTTCATCAGGCCTGTAGTACCCTTTCAAATAAAGATATGTAGTGAGGACAAGCCAATCAAGATGATTGGTAACGATAAAGATTAGATTGTCGATTTGTAAATGAGGTGATTTAATACCCTTCTGCACTGTTCAATCAGGACTAAAATGTTTATCTAAATATGGGCTATAGCTTACTAGATAAACTAATAGCCTTGATAAGTTGAGCTTTTCTATCCATTGGTTTTCTCTTTTTCTTTTTTTCTTCAAGTTTTCTTTTTTTGGAAGAAGCTACATTGGTTATCCTTTGCTTCTCCCAAATTCGCATATGTCGTTTTCTTAAGACGACTAAATGGCACTAAGACAAAACCATACAGTCCGTGATCTTACCTCAGATGCATGTGCTTCTTATCCTTTATCCCCAGCCTTTCAATCTTCTTAGCAGAAAGCCTAATTGCCGTTTTTCTGCCTGACTTAATTTTCCCTTGCACCTACTCCAAAGCCCTTTGGTTTGAGGCCAACCAGATAGAATCAGCATTGACTGGAGGTTCTTTCTTCTATACTTTATAAAGTTACATCTAGAAATCATGGCGTCCAAGTGTTCAAAGTGGCATCCTTTCGAAGTGTTCCTTTATTTTTAAATTAGTTTGGTGCCTTGACAGGCTTATACTTGCATGTGCCTTTGTACAATTGATGTTGCGTCTCCCTGGAACATAGTGGAGTTGTCAGGCTTAATAGAATCTCCAGGGCAGAAGTCAGCTCAGTTCTCATAACTTGAGTTAGGAAATTCATAATTGGACGTCTACAAAAATATGGAGATCCTGCGAAAATGATCACAATGTGGTTTCATACGAGTCCGCCTAAGAACGCACACACTACCGAAATCAAAGGAAGTTAAAATAACATGTGATTTTTATCTTTCAAGACTGAAAAATGTCATGAATATCAAAATTTGTGATTGTGGCAGACATGAGCACGCCTTTCGTGGCCGTAGCCCGCCTGGAGGACCCCGATTTGTCTATTCGGATACACCAATTAAATGTTCACCCCTTTCAACATTTACAATTACATGAAGGGGAGGCGAAGAGGCTTACCCCGGTTGATCACAACACGACCAATAATGGCGAATCGAGGGCGTAAGTCATACATTTGAGTAGGTCCCGTTTTAAAATTTAAAGCCAAACGCAAACATCCGTTCCTGTCATTACGTTTCAGGTTTCACTTGCAGCATTCCCTACTAAAATTTGTCTCTGGTAGAGCCTAATAATCACAAAAACCCAGATCTAATTTAACGTCAAATTGACCTTTTCTTTGTATCATAATTTTCTGACGAACATATTGTAATCAGGTCGTCTCCGATCATCTTTATCTCTCTGTGTTCATGTTTTGGCCTATGTCATAATCAGCTCAGGGATATAAACAGGTTGAACCTACAGAACTTCTAAGCAAAAGGACTAATTTCTGACAGAGTAAAGTAGTAAGAATAGGCAGACTAGAATGTAAGTATGTCGTGCTCGAATGCAGGGCCGCTGGATTCGAACCCGGGACCTTTAACTTACAGTGATGAACGCCGTGTCAACTTCTAAACCGTTGCGGCCACCAACGCCCCTAGAAGAAAACTTTTTTTCTCAAAAGTACATCGTACAACTGACCAAACCAGCGAGTATAGGAAAATCGGGATAATCGGAGACAAATTTCATAACTTAAAATTGCCTCCAATTAAAGTAACAAAAGACATGCATTGAACACATCACTCTTACGTTATCTATCTTTTTTGCTTAACTTAAATCATTTAGATCAATGCTTGGAAATAGGAGGTTCCGTCGAGATCGACATTTTAGTCTTTGCTGGTGACACCACGTGCACTCCCAAGGACTACCCTAAGCAATTATGTAAACGTACTTATAAGTAAATTTGACTAAATCCAAAATTTCACCATGTTCAATGCCTTTCTACAAACACATGCGAGTCTTCACAAAGCAGTGACAATAGATACAAGATAAGAGAGGAAAGACAAACTTTCAACCTTCAACCTCGTTTTTAAAAAGATAGTTCCTTCTCATAGTAAGTTGTTTTGTAACGATCCGGATTTCGAGCCCTTAGCTCAACAGCAGGTTGAAAGAGTTCTACAACCTGATGATGAGCTAAGGGCTCGAAATCTGGATCATTGCGAAACAACTTACTGTGAGTAGGAATAGGAACTACCTTTTTAAAAAGGATAAAACTTTCATCGTGGTGAAAGTGTAAAACATTGAATGACGGATGAAATAGCGAGGATAGGTGGAACAGAATTGACCGGAAATGAGCAAACTTCAATCAAAAAGTTCATCACTTCATATCAATGAAAATTTTCATAATTTTAATTAAATTTACAAGAAAATCCACCATATTTTGCTGTGCTTCGAGTGACCAACACTCATGTGGCATAATGAATTATAATATAGTATATTTGCCGAAATATCTATTTAGACGATAAATTTACTTTAAAAAAATAAGGGTTTATTGATTAAGCATTTTTACGTGTCTGTAAGTGTGTCTGTGTCCAAAAAATACAACCTACATAGGGGAATCTACAAAAAAATTTAAACTTTTAAATTGATATTTTTAATTAGTTGATTAATTTTTATGCAGTGATATTTAAAAAATATATACTGGCTAAGATGACCAACTAACACAAATGTAAATAAATTACACTCTTCATTAAGATCAACCAATATAAGAAGTAAATATAAAAGATTGTGTATAAATAAATTTTAAAAAAATGTGTGTGAGAGAGAGAAAATGAGAGAGAGAGAGAGAGAGAGAGAGAGAGAGAGAGAGAGAGAGAGAGAGAGAAAGCCTGTTTCTATCTATGAATGTGACTTTGTTTCCATGCTATGTAGTATTTAACATAAGGAGTAATAAATTGAACTTTTCCTCTTCCTAATTTAACTTTATTTCAAATTTCACATTTTCAGGTGGGATATCAAAAAGGCAAACAAAAACAATCTTTGGGTTTTTATGCCTTATCGAACTTTTCCACATATAACTTTTCCTGAATCAAATTGAACTTTTTCTAAAATGAATTGGACTTTTTTTTATGAATTATTGAATTTATCTATTTGAAGTTCTCCATATTCAGTGGGATATCGAGTTAAATTGAACTTTTACTATAACAAATTGAACTTTTCCTCTTCCTAATTTAACTTTAGTTCACATTTCACATTTTCAGGTAGGATATCAAAAAGGCAAACAAAAACAATCATCAGGATTTTATGCCTTACCAAACTTTCCAAATGTAAATAGAACTTTTCCTGCACCACATTGAACATTTTCTAAAACGAATTGGACTTTTCTTCTTGGTTATTGAACTTATCTATTTCAAGTTCCACATATTCAGCTGGGATATTGAGCTGGATTGAACTTTTCCTCTTTCTGATTCAACTTATTAGTTTTAAATATCACATTTTCAACTGGAATGTATCATAGTAAACAAAAAAATTCTCCAAATTGTCTTTTTCAAGTCTAATTAATCTTATTTTCATATTAAATTGATCTTTCCTCTAATGATATATGAAATATTTAATAAAATTGCAATTTCTTCACCCTTTTCTTGCATTTTTATGCATTTTATGAAGGTCACATTTCATATATTTTACAATGTCGTTGAATTGAACTTTTCCTCATTCTAATTCAACCTATTTATTTTAAATAACATTTTCAGCTGGAATATAAAATAGTAAAAACATGCTCAAAACTTTGTCTTTTTCAAGTCTAATAAGAAGTATTTAATAAAATTACAATTGCTTCACTCTTTCCTTACATTTTATGCATTTCGTGAATGTTCATTTGTCATACATTTTACAATATCAACTCAAATTGAATTGCACTCTTTCTAAATCAACTTATTCATTCTAAATGTTACATTTTCTGTTACATGTTTTAGGAATATAAAATAGGTAAACAAAAAAAAATTCTCCCAATTGTAAGTTTAATTAATCTTTTTGTATTAAATTGAACTTTCTTCTAGCCACATAAGAAATATTTAATAAAATTGCAATTGCTTCACTCTTTTCTTACATTTTATGCATTTCATGGATTTTTCATGTATTTTCCAATATCAAGTTGAATTGAACTTTTCTCTTTCTAATTCAACTTATTTATTTTGAATAACATTTCAGCTGGAATATAAAATAGGTAAACAAAAAACTTTTCAAAACTGTCTTTTTGAAGTCTAATTAATCTTTTGAATATTAAATTGAACTTTCCTCTAATGATATATGAAATATTTAATGAAACTGCAATTTCTTCACCCTTTTCTTGCATTTTATGCATTTTGTGAATGTTCATTTTTCATATATTTTACAATATCAAGTCAAATTGAACTTTCCCTGAACGAAGTACATACGGCAGGAACGAATAAAAAATTAGTTTGACTCGTTCGTGGCGTGGGGTGGCCCGGAGTCGGGTGGGTTTGGGTGGTGCTGGACTGTGGGGTCGGGTGCCATAAGCAGCCTGGGCATGTTTTGCCCCGGATTCTATGGGGATGTGGCCTTTTCCATGGTGTTGTAAATGGTTTTTATCCACATCCCCGAAAATGGAAACCGTATATAGGCCCTAAAAAGAAATAAATAAGTATGAGTGCTGGTCCCCTTAGGCAGGCTTGGGCATTCTCCCGCTTTCCGGCTGCGCCTTGCCTGCCCCTTCGGGCTTCTGCATGCTGCGAAGGAGAGAGAAAAAAAAGAAGAAGAAAAAAAAAAGAAATGGCGGATGCTCAAATGGCGATGCCAAAAAAAAAAAAAACTCCCTCTTTCTTATTTAACTTATACATTTTAAATGTCACATTTTCATCTCAGAGAAGAAAAAATAGATAAACTATTCTCAGGATTTTATATATTTTTCAATATTAAATTGACGTAAATTCTTTTTCTATTGAAAAATACAATTTAATATAGAAAAAATTAAATTGGGCTTGGAAAAGTGGAAACTCTTGAGTATTGTTTTTGTTAATCTATTTTTGTCAGTTGAAAATGTGGAATTTGATATAGATAAGTTAAATTGGAATGAGGAAAAGGTCAATTTGTTGCAGTCAAAGTTCTATTTGATTTCAAAGGTCAATCAGGCGGACTTCCATGATTTTCGTTCTGAATAAAACACGTATAAAATTTTTAAAATAATTTGACAACTAAACAAAAATTATGATTTGTTTATTAATAAATGTAAAAAAATTAAAGAAATAAGACTGATATTTGAATTTTTTGTTAAATAATCATTTTTGTTGGTATATCTGATTGTGTGTGAGGAGCCCCCTGTGTCCGGTATTGAAAGGTCGACTGCTCCCCCACCCCCGGTCCACTACGTAATCTCATCACAAAACGTAGAAGTAGTTATCGAAGTGAAACCTGGAACAGGGGAAGATCCCAGAGGATGGTTATTTTTGATTAATTCGCCTCCCGATTTCACATCCCTGCAAATCTTTATGTTTTTATAATTAAAAGAAAGAAAAAAAAAACAAATCCAACCGATCTCAGTTGCAACATTAAGAAAAGGTTTTCGCGTTCGGATTGTGTAGGTAGGAGTTATTTGAAAAGAATGGGTCTGACTGACATGTTCGCAACTTCGCCTTTCGACGCCGAAGTCGGTGAGTTTGAGATTATAAGGAGTGAACCAGTTTTAAAACGGGAGTTAAAAATTGTCCCGTTTATGTTGCAGAGAAGGCCACCAACGAGAACAACACCAGCGAAGACTGGGGCAGGATCATGGAGATATGCGATAAGGTGTCCAACTCGTCGGTCAAAGCGAAGGACTGCCTCAGGTCCATAGTGAAAAGACTTCAGAACCAGGACCCGCACATCGTCCTACAAGCTATAACCGTGAGTAATATTTTTTACCTGGAATTTTCCAATTTTAATGAAAGGAAAACCCCATCCGCTCATTGATATGAGCCGTATTCTTCACAAATTGAATTGGAGCAGGTTGATCTTTTTCTTAAAATTCAAGACTTCTTTTTATTACACAATCATGCTCAAGGAGGTCTTTTTTGCAACTTGCCGTGGGTTTCCTCGGGTTTTGACGATTATACCATCCAACGGGTTTATTTGGCTTCATTTGGCATTAGTCATCCATCCTACATCTGATTTGGACTGGTGACATTGCTAGTTTGTCGTGGAGGGAGATTTGATTTAGGCCCCTTTAAAACCAAAGTTTGCCTTGCCCGACAGTTCACTATTTTCACTTTATCATAAAGATGTTGAGATTGTTTAGTTTTTGTTTGTTCAGTTGGATAATCAAATCTGCACTATCAACTTTCTCTTGACAATGGTTCACTGGTTAGTCTTTCTTGCCAAGAATAGAAAGCAATTAAAAAATAATTGACAATGCTTTTTTTGTTAATGGAATTAATGTATAACTCACAAATGTTTAGAATTCTCTAAGTGCTCAGTGCTACAGTCAGTAAACAAAATATTAAGCTGGGTTTGCATTGCGTGAAAAAATCACTTGCGCAACTCGTGCCTTCTTGGGTTAACAAGGTTAGCCACCAGACAAGCATACCGTTTATACAGTCTGTCATTTTTTTTTTTTTTTTTTTTTTTTTTTTTTTTTTTTTTTTTTTTTTTTTTTTTTTTTTTTTTTTTTTTTTTAATGAGAATTCACAACAGCAGAGGTTACACCCTTAGGGTGCTAGTGTTTTTGAAAAAAAAAAAGCATTTGTAATTATGTTGTGTTCGAGTGCAGGGCTGCTGGATTCGAATCAGGGACCTTTACCTTATTGTGTTAAGTGCCGTGTCAACGACTAAACCATTGCAGCCACCAACGCCGTGTATAATTATCAGTATTTGCTGTCATGGCGATAGTTTTTGTCTTTGTCCCATTTTGATGCTTATTTCCTCCCACATGTCCTCTCTCATTCTTATTATGATGAGTTTTATCATTAGTAACCCACAAAAGTCTGTAGCTGTGATATATTCGGAATGTTGAGTGCAGTCATCCTGGTTCATTCTTATACTCGAGACAAGTGCGTTTACGGGGAGTGAAACAAACAACACAAAACACTAAAAAACTGACGGCTGGTCAGCTCACCCCAAAACATACTTGTGCAAAAGTTTCACAGTCCCAGCTGCACAAAAAAGCCACAATGCAGTTGCCTGAGTGACTTTAGTGGAAACCAAGCTTTAGGTAAAAGGCAAAAGATGTATTCTTCATGTTATTTATAAACCCTCTTCCTCAGTTGAAAAATTGTAAAATGGCACTATATGCAGATGACATCAATATATAGCTCTTTACAGAGACCAGATACTAGGTTGAATTAAATTGGGTGTACTGGTTCTGTAACCACTGGAAACAATATATACCTGACCTTAAAATTGAAATTTTGTTTTTCTCTGACTGCGCACATTTCTAAGAGATAAAGTTATGGTTAACAATTGACAAATAGAGTGGTCTGAGAAAACTAAATGCCTAGGTATAACCATGGACAAAAAACTTCTCAGACCATAATATAAAGGAAATTATTAAAAGGGGAGGGTTGGTAGCAGGATCTTATTCCTACTGATGTCCCGTTGCTCCACCATAGATATAAAAAATAAACTTCTTATATACAACCAAATTTTAAAGCCCTCCTTACTCTATGCATGCCTGGCCTGGAACTACACGTGCACTACAAATATACAACCAGGCTTTATATCAGCCTAAATGTCCGAGAGTATGTAAATCTCTCCTTTATTTATATTTTTTTAATTGTAGCTGTGTTCCGTATAAGGACCTCTTCCCCTTAAACTTGGGGTTACCTTTCTTCACCTTCACACTTGGAAAGCTCTTTCAAAGCTGAGTTTTTCTCTCATTTTGTCAGGTACCATTATAGCAATCTCAGTTATTTTAATTCTCTCCAGAATTTTGTGATGGCTTCTCACGCAGCTGGGAAAATTGATGGTTTGGGGCCTAGAGGCTTTGCTAGGCCGATCCATGTTCTATTTTAGATCCATCTGTATATCTTAATAAAGCGTCTCTTAGTTATGGCGGGGGAGAGGTATTCTTCCAAACTTCTCTTGTAGCTTTTATTCAGAAGGGTCTGTCCAAATTTTCTTTTAATTTTATTTTGTCAGACAATTTTGTAGCCACCTTGTTTCTTTTTAGGATTCTATGATTGGGATTTTAGGATTTAAATTGGGTTTTATTTCATTTTGTCCAAAGTAATACCATCTGCTGGATGTATGTATGCAATGGAGGCAATCCCAGTGCCCCTTCCATCTAGGGCTAGTATGCATTGCCTCTATAATATTGAGGCATTCTTACTTTTATAATTTAAATAGGTAATTCTTATGATTCTGTGTCTTCTTTTCTAAGGTTTTGTGGCTCCAATGTTATGATTCCATATGTGCCAGAGGTTGGATATAGTAAAATTTGGATTTATACTATAAAATCTTTTAGTCCACACTTCTCATAGTCTTGTTTTATGTATCGTTTTCCTAATGTTTTTCCAAGGAGAAGAAGAAAACCTTCAATTTAGAACATTTATGTAACATTTATAAGAAACTTTTTGCCTTTGATTATGTAATAAGAAACAATGTTCATTCAAACTGTGTAATTAATAAAATACATTTTCATCAACAACACCCTGTACAAAAAGGTCAGCGTAAAATTTCATAAAAGAACCATTAAACATTGAAAATTGTTAATAATCATGACCTACTGTATTTTCAATTATTTCGTACAGTTTTGCAGCCTATAGCAAGTCAACGGTTGAGAGTTGTGCATAGAGACAGCAAATTAAAAACAAACACCCTCTTTCTGGTGTGTTTTAGCCTTCTGTCATCATCAGTGGTGAGATTGAGGTTTATTAGTTACATCATTACAAAAAGGATATATAACACTGATCACGACAGGAGGTTGAAACACATCGGACAAACCAAAATACCAAAAAGACAGACCAAAATGATCAAACAATTATACAGTGTTTCTCACTGTGTTAATACTTTGATAGGATTTTGTAATTTTGGAATGGTAGTTGGTTTCAGACAATTTTTTTTAATTCTCTTTTCTCTTGTAATATCTTATCTAACTAGCCTTACTTCAGATAAAACGTATTCAATAGTAATATATTAATATAATTAAATAATTGTTTGTACTGAATATCAATCATACATTCAAACATGAATCATAACAGCTTCTATTAATTGAGCTACATCCTTTAAAGTATTTTCTTTTTTTCTTTTTTTCAAAGAATATTATTAATACTTACTGACTTAGTGGCACATCATTTGAACTTAATCTAAATTTATCCAAAGATGTATAGCCTTCAAAATTTGAACTTTTAAAGTATTCGATTGATTGATAAATCTGTTTACATTGTTGTTAAATTTATTTAATAAATTGAATTATATTACACACATTTACAAGACTGTTAATAATCTTAATTCGTTACAGCTTTTGGATGCATGTATTAACAACTGTGGAAAGACGTTTCAATTGGAAGTGGCTTCACGTGACTTCGACTCTGAAATGAAGAAGGTGGTCAAAAGGTGGCTGCCAAGTAGCCCCGTCGGCGGAAAGTTGAGGGTGCTAATCAAAAAGTGGTCTGAATCAGACCTAAAGAACGACGACCAACTCAGCCTCATGACGTCTATGTGGTCTAGGATGCGTAGCGAGGGTATAGACCTGACAATACACTCAGACCCGAGCACATCGACTAGAGTAAATCAATATTTTCAACAAAATTAATTAGACACGTTTTGAAGTGTTTTGACTTATTTTTTTTTAGTCCCAAAGGTCAACTGACCCCAATCATGTTTCAAGCCAGCAAGAAGTTGATGATATAGCAAAAGGTAAAAAACAAAAATTTCAATATAATGAAATTAAATAGGATCAATTTCAGAATTCAAGGATTTACTCAGCACAGAATTAGACTTTTAAATATAAAAGTTTCATAAATTCAGGTTTTCTGGCTTTGCAGACCTTCCTCATTGGCCATGTTTGAAATATTTCCTAGATCTTAGAATTAGACTTGAAATGAAAAACCCTTGGAAATGAGCAGGATCCTTAGTACTGCCCAGAAAATCCTTTCAAATTTTACCACCATTACATATCTCATTTAGGTAGAGGCTAGAGCAACAATTCACAGGTTACTGCAGGGAGAAGCTAGCCTACTCGCTTAAGAATTAAATATTTGGGTGGAACTTAAGGCAAACAGAGTTCGGGGGATGCCTGTTAACACTGTGATCCAAAAATTCAGCTTTGATCAGAAAACTTCAGATCAAACTATTCAATAGAGCAGATAGAAGAAAAGGATCCCAATTAAGCCGATTACATCTGGTATACATATGGCTGCAAGACCGAGTATCGGAGTTGGTATCTATGAAAAAGAGGCTGGGAATAATTAACAAAAGAATAGCCATCTAATCTCAGTCAGCCAGGTGGCATTAAAAATAATTACCTCATGGTGATTGCACATTAGACCAATATTGGTCGCAGTGGCTGACTCCCTTTAACCTTTAACTCTTGGAAGTCTCACAGCCTTTTTGTACTTTTTAGAAATCAGGCAAATTCCAAATCTTGTATTAATCCCATAACTTATGGGATCCTGCATGCATTATAGATATTCCTCATTATTTCCCATATATCCAATAATTTTTTTATTATTAATTTTTTTCAGTACTTGAGTTAGTTCCAAATTGTTTACTTGTTACATAACTTCTGATTTTCTGTCTTCATTTCATTTCTGATATTACTCAATAGACCTGTTCTTATGTTATGAAATATTTTCTGTGGTTCTCATATCACATTCATTTCGGTTTTTAATATTTATCACGTATCAAATTTCATGGCTGCTTGACTGACCATGCATGAATGCATTTATTTTTGTCACAAAGTCTTCAGCGTATAATTATTAATTCCTTCTTTGTTTAATTTTTATGGTTTGTAAAATTTTGAACCTAAGCACTCATAGGCAAGGTCAAGGCAAAATACCCAGAGGAAAAAACTGTGCACTAATTTTTCATTAACGTTTATGGAAACTCATGTTTTTCCACACTCCTTACATCCTAGACACTAGAAACTCTCCCGATAGTTTTGTTCTTACTTTACTTTATTTATTGAAAACCTCCCAAAGAACTATTGTCTAAATCGTCGTGAATTTTGGTTTTCAGCTATAGAGCTTAGCCTAAAAGAAAGCACATCTCCCAAGACGCAACATAACACAAGCCTAGGTACCACATCACTCTATCCAAGCATTGGAACGTCGAATACCCAGAACTCGAACCCAAAACAGAGCGAACCGAGGAAGGTGAGGGCTTTGTACGATTTTGAAGCAGCTGAAGATAACGAATTGACATTTTTCGCTGGAGAAATAGGTAAACCACTGAATATTTTCTTATCGTGTCTGATCCGCTCGTGTAACTGGGTTTTTCTTCTTCAGTACATGTTACTGATGATAGCGATGTGAACTGGTGGAGAGGCTGCAACCAAAGAGGAGAAGGGCTTTTCCCAGCCAATTTTGTCACCTCTGATCTCTCAGTCGAAACAGAAAAAAGTAAACTTATTTTCCATTATTTAGTAATGTTTTAAATTTTTAAGTTTTTTAATAATTATATTCTATAAAATTAAAACTAAAATCTCCAAAATGGATTATTTCATTGAATGTTGCCTTTGCAGTGAAATCAATGCACATGAATTTTTTTCAAAACTGATCCCTTATTTCAAAATTCAACATAATGTGCCTGCTATAACATACCAACTGCAGAAAAATAATAAATGATCAAACTGCTAGTTCATCTCAAAATTTTAAAAGCTCTTGGACCATTATTTTATTTTTTATTGTTTAAGTTTAATAATTAACTATTTGGATATATAGTTGATCAACCATAGAACATCTTGCTGATCTTATTAAAACATTATTATAATTTATTATTTAGGATTTTATTTTTCTGTGCTGTGCCACCACACTATCATGCACTAACCATATTTTTCCAGCCATAATGCAATAAAATGTAATATGTATTTCTCATTTTTTAGAACCTGAGAAGAAAGGAATTAGTTTTAATGAGACAGTAGAGGTGAAAACAATTAGGCCATCAAAAAAAGTCGAGATAGATGCAAAGAAAATCGACCTACTTTTAGGTATGCTCCATGAAGTCGATCCAACGACAGAAGGCCCCGATCCAGAAGAACTCCTCGCCTTGGAAGAAGAAGTGACAGAGATGGGCCCCCTGATAGACGCCGAGTTAGAGCGTGTAGACCGGAAACACGCTCAACTCTCCGAACTAAGTGGTAGCCTGGTCGAGGCGCTCGGGATTTACCACACGTTGATGCGCGAGCCGATGCAGTACAAACCGATGTACCAGACGCTTCCACCCCCTGGTCACTATCCGCCCGGGCAGCAGCAGCTGCCTCATTATTTCAACTTCCAGCCGCCGCCACCCCCGCAACAACATATCAACCCCGGCCCTCCTCCGCCACACTTCAACGGGAACATCAACCCTCAGGCACCGCCGCATTTCCCACCACACCAACCCCTGCAGCATTTTCAACCTCCTCCTCCTCCCCAACCACCCTCGTCATCCCATTGACACGTTAACTCATATTTATGTACATAGCGGAAATAAATATTGTAAAGTATCTGATAAAGAAAAAAAAATTCTTTGTAAATAAGCAAAGTTTATCATTTTGTATTATTGTAATTAATGGAAAGTAAAACAATTCGATAATTTTCAATATATATAATACATCGTGTTGCTAAATTTTATTAACCACTTTGTTATAGTCATAAAAGATTATCTCCTCCAGAATAAACAAGAAATTTGTTTTTGTTTTTTTATTATATATTAGTTTTTTCTTCTTTTATTGTATTCCATTTGTTTGAAAGTATGCAAGTTAGAGAGTTATAAATATCAGAACTATTCATTATATTATTATGTAATTTTTTCAGTGTTGGAGACAAGTTTGGAAGTTATGAAAAAATGAAAATTTGTATTTTTCTAATTTTTAAAGTAAAGTAGACAATAAAGAGAAAAAGGAATATCACAACAAGTAAACGTATTTGTCTCTACAATTTAAATCATTCCAATTTATAGTTTTTACATTCGGTAAATTATTTATATATATAATATATCTGATGATAATATTATTTGAACGTATAAAACATGTCGCTAGTTTTGTTTTTTTGTGATTTTAATTGTAAGTTTTATTGTGATGGATTATATTTAAACAATTTTGGTATATTTTTAACCGAACAACAATTGGTAGTAGCTAAAAGATTGGAATGTGCAATAAACAGTGCATCAAGATGTTAGTGCTTTTTAAACAGTGATATGTCATGATACATATTATATAAAAGTAAATATACTGGATTGTTAACAATGGTTTTTTTTTGTTTCCAACACGTATTTACCGTGCTAGCAGTCCTGTGTTCAAATCCTGGCACAATCTGTGGTTTTTTAATTGAGAACAGCATGAATAATCAAGGAGAAGGCGTATAAGTTGAAAGTAAGCACCAAGCCTTTATCAGTTTGACCCTTAGTAAATTCCATAAAGAAAAATGTAACCATACAACATTAAATATTTAAGCTTTATGTTCAAACCAACTTGCCAGGAAGCATCCGAACATAAAACGTAATAACAAGTAAAAAGTAGACGAGCTTGCGCACCGTGACTATCATTGTGTAAGACATACCAGATCATAAATAAATACATGAGGTATTCGCCGAATTATGGGCTCAGAACCCTACTGCAGCCTAGCAGCCTGTCATAAAAGAGGATACATCTTAAATTGGATCCTTGATGAGTCCAAAACCTGGTGGAGCAATACCACAGGTATGAGTCACGCAAAGAGATTGATAGAAGGATCATCCGCAAAACTTACAAAAGGTGTAAAAGGATTACTGGAAGGCAACCGCAACTGAACCAGGATTCTGGTTGGACTTCTGACAGGGCACTGCCACTTAAGAAAGCACATACACCTGATAGGAGTACAGACAGAAGGAACACTGGGCAGATACTGCCAGGAAGAGGAGACTGCAGAACACATTTTTTGTTTCTGGTGAAGGTCTACGTAGTTGCAGGTTCTTGCAACTAGGACAATAAAAACCACAAGCCAGATCCTACACCAAGGAACCACAGGGGAGGCTGGTTAATAGCCAGTGAGTTATAAATAACAGAGGAGCACAATAGTTCTATTCAGGTCGAGGTGCAGCCCTTGTGGCCGCCTCTTTTATCCCTATCCCTATTCATCGAATACTGATTGCTGCCGAACGTTTGCCGATGCTCATCTTGGCATTTGCTAAATAGTCAATGTGTTCACATATGTGGGGTTTTTACAACCAGACAGTTTGTGTGGAAACAGTGAGTACGCATTTGCCTAATGCTGTGCGAGTCCTCAACGTACTACTAATTGTGATGGACAACAGTGAAACTGTCATTGCTGCACCTGTGGCTACAAACTCAGTCATAGAAAACCTCGTTCTGATATTTGTGATTCGGAAGCATTCCAAATTATTGGTTCAGCTTGGTACAGTTCAAGGAACTCCAAGACTGTTCCATCCATTCCTAACCAATCGAAACAACACTATGGTGTTCTTTCATTAAATACATCTATTAGGTATTGTTTATTATTTTAAAATAAATAGTGTTGATTGATAATTCAGTCGATATCCGAATGTGTGGATGCTTTGAGTTCAGCTTCTTCATAAATATTTGTGCATTTTGAAATGAACAAGGAAACCAACAATTAGCCTAGCATGGCGATCACCAAATATTATCGAATAACCAATCCCCACTAGTTGTGATTCAGCAAACCTTTGCTTGGTATTTGACAAATCACGCATGTCTGGAGCCACCTGAAAGCTTCGTTAAAGGCTCTCGTGTATATCCTTCATGCTTAGGCTTTTCCTCTCCCAGGAATAAGAATCGACCTGCAGCACAGGACATATTCTGCTGTTTCTTCTTCCTAGCAATACTGCATAGGGTTCTTTCAGCTGCTCCATGTTTATACAAGAGCCTCCGGAGTTTACAGTGTACAATCAGTCCTACTATCATTATAATCCTAACGTGTCCTAGGTTTAGTAGTTCTGTTAGTTACTGAAATGATCCTTTGATGAAGTTTTTCACAAGCCTGTCTTTCAAATATGCTCCCATTGAACCGATGACTTATTCCTAACAGACTTGTGATGGATCTACAATTTTGGTAATTTGGTATGTCGCAAAAAGTTGTTTGGCAGTACAAACTTTCCCCAAAACAATGATGGAAACCACACCCGACATTCCACCCTTACATATTTATGCACAAAAGGTTGCTTTTGAGAGTGCCAACCAACCCTTGAGATACTAGGAAAAAAAGCCAGATCTAAGGAGCCACCGAAACTTTTTAAATTAAAATAAATGAAGGTTACAATAGTATCTGACCAAATGGGAGAACTTTGACAGACTAAGTAGACACAGTTAAAAAGATCTTTGGAATAGGTAGCCCGAGTTTCAAGAAGGTGTCCTTATGTGGTACAAAGATGGAACAAGGAGTAGGTGTACGCATAAAAGCACTGAATTACACTCTAGCAAAAGCCTTTGGACTAATCCCACCCTATCAATTTGATATATCGTATACTTGATGATACCAAGTTGATAAAGATAAATGTTAAGCTTTCAGTTCCAAAATAATCTAGGAATAACTAAATTGCCTAATGGCTATAGGAAAACGCAAGGTTACTTTAATCTGGGTTCTGAGACATGAAATACATAGAAGGAAATGAATAGGACTGACCAACTAGCCAAAAAACAACCAGAACTAGGTCACCAGTGTGCTAAGTCAGAACTGGAAAAGTGGCTTAAGAAAGAAAAACTCAAGCCTAGATAAAAATAACCAGCTTCGAGGCATCAAAAGCACTGCAGAGGCCCTTAGCAGACCTGATTATCTTGATTCGTAGAAGGCTCACAACAATCCTTGGGGTGTCGGTGTTTTTACAAAAACCCCAAATGTAAGTTTGTTCGTACAAATGCAAGGCAGCTAAATTCTAACTCGGGAGTGATGAGCAACGTGTCAACACCTAAACTGTTGTGTCCACCTGTAGGATTGATATGACCTCTAATTGAAGGGTGCAGTTCCTTGGCTCTATATAGAGAGCTATATATTATAGCATATATTAGTTATGCTAATATATGGGAATTGTACTTGAGCACGGCAAAGAGTATCTGAGTCCCCTGTTCCGATTCTTCGAGGAAAGAAGGTTGTTTTATTGTATATAGCTTTATGTCCCTAGCATGTGTTGAAAGTGAATGGATTTATTAGCATGAATGTGTAGTGTGAGGGCCAATGGTGGAATATTGAGTACCCCATCGACGCTAAGGTTAGTGTATACATATAGGTGTAACATGTGATGGAGGAATGTTGAGTACTCCACTGCTCTGAGTGTATATTATAATAATATTCATATAATATAATAATTATATTATATAATTATAATATAATATATTATGTGTAAATAAGTAAGAATATATTTAAGTATTTATTTAGAAATCGTGAGACGAGGTCTGGTGGGATGTAGGTTTCAGAAAAACATTTTCTTTATCGTGCCAACGTTTCGAGCTTTATTGAGATCATCTTCAGGGCCTGGGATTTACAAACATTTTTACACATAACAATTACATTTTGGATGTGGAAAAGTGAATTTATACAATGCAAAATATATTTTTTTATATATTCAATCAAAGTATTTCTACTCACTCAAAGTGTGTTCAATATATTTAAGGGTGGATGTGTGTAAATGGATTTAGGACTGAAACAATTAGCTGTTGATAACCCCTGAAGCCTAACCTCGGTGGCTGGACATTTAAAACCAAGGTTTGACCCCCAGACTCCAACACCCAGAGTGTTGTGTTATTCTCAAGGCATGCCCATAATCGATTGTAAATTACAAAAGCTTTGCCGGTGGACTGCGAGTGAAAGTGATGTGTGCAGGATTTGAGCTTATATAAATCAGAAAAAGTGTCATCTTGATCAGCATCAAAAAGGAAAAAACTAGTATAAATGGTAGGAATAAAAAAATTGAAACTATGAATTTTCTTTTATCCAGTATATTTAGACAGGATACACTAGTAAAAAAATAATCATTGCACAGAATTTCAACAATAATAAAAATCAAAACAAAATAACATGAATAAAACATACAGTGTGAATATTTTGTTTTGAAAGAAAACTATTCAACATAACATACAGTTTATGAAATTACTACTTGAAACTAAGTAAATCATGGTATATTTAAAAAAATAAATTAAAATTAATTGACATAAATCTGATGTTTAGGCGAGTGATTATAAACTGGACAGTGCTAAAAAAATTCAAAGCACACATTTTATCCTTTGGTTTAAACAATGAGGGTAGTAAACTCCAAAGAAACACATTTATTTATTCTATTTATATATAAATGTTACATTTTATAAAAAGCCTTGATGCATATTTCACAAATTATATTTGTGATTATGAGTAATATAATAATATTTATGCGGTTGTGCGTATAATAATCAAAATTGTCAATAAAATTTCTACTAGCTTGATTTTTGAATTTCTGTTACCCTGGACAAAAAGAAAAGTCTGTCTAGAAAATGAAAACGCCCAAACCTCTGTATTATTGGCACAGGTTTTTGGTACTTTTTGTTTTCTCTTTTTATTTTTTTTTTGTTTCTAAACACAGCCTAATTTACGAACTTATACGTTAAAGTAGGTGTTATTCAGTGATTATGTGCCTCTGTTTAAATTCAGAAACCCGTTCTTAACAATCACAGAATTATTTTATTTATTTTTTAATAGAACTGCATTTTCACAGCCATATGTACAAAGCCGATATCTGCTAAAAATACAAACTTGCGATTCTAAAAAGGGGGTCGAAACTTTTAAAATGTACAATTTCAAAAGTACAGTCTCTCACTTTTTTTTTTGCCTGGTAAAAATTTAAGCATTATCTAGTTTAAACTGTAAAACAGTAAAGCGCTAATTTTCTTTTTTTCAGGTATAATTTGCATCACAAATAATTTTGGCGGTTAATATCAATCAAACGATTTTTTTTTCCGACCCATCATCTTGCCAAAATGTCTCGTCATTAAATCAGGTTTCTGTCAACTGGCTTTCCCTATTCTAGACAGACATTAGCACGATTAGTCGAAAAATGCTAAAAATTTGATGTTCCACTAGTAGAAACCTGGTAAAAAAGCTAAAACTCGGCGAATCTTTTTCGCACTTTTGAGCCTCGATGATTCTATTATGACAGAAACTACTTTTTTTTTTAGAGAGAGAAAGAATGACAAGTAAATTAGATGAAAAGTTTAATATCTTTGATTCAAGTTTAAAATTATTATTATTATTAAAAATACATTTTTAGCATGATCTCAAAGATTTACATGATTTTTGACTGTATTAGGCATATTGTCTTCACGAGTTTTGAGAGAAAAAATGTGCTAAACTCTAGTGTAAAATTAATTTGGCACTTTGTGGCAAAAGAGCAAGAACAAAGGTAATTATTTTTGTATATTTTTCATCACACAATTTAATAATCGAAATGAAACTTTTTTTATTAAAAAAATATTCAGCGTTGCTTATAGAATAAGTCATAAAGGCGATATAATTCAAAAAATTTATGCCATAATTAAAATTATAACTACCAGTTAATTTGTGTCAACAAACTCATGGACAGATTGATAGCCCAAAGGCAGTACAATGTTTACTATTAGACCCACACGGTACAAGTTTTGTATGCAAAGTCACAAAATACTCAAAATTGTGAGAATAGCAAAACTGACTGATCTGGTCTTATAATTTTTTTTTTTCATAGATATCCTACAGTTCAGTTGAATAAAAAAAATATCTTTGTGTGTACTAAAAAGCGTTTAAAATTGGCCAACGATTTAAAAACATGTGTTTTAAAATATTGGCATAAACTACCACTGCCTATCACAAACTGATGAAAATACACTTGTTGATTTGGCAGACGGGGGAGAGGGTTCCAGATTATGAGGAAATACATCGTACGACTAATGACAAAGATCACATTTAAACCAAAATACACCGAATGGTAGTATTTTCCCGCCTATGCTGTCCTACCAAAACTAACATTTGAACACTTACACAAGTAGGGGAAATATCCCTATCCCCTATTAGAGACATTTCTACCAGTATGAGCATGGTTTTTGGTTTAAGTTTGTTTGTACGACAATAGTAACTTTATACAAACTAGAAATCAAAATCACAAACTTGTACACAACCATCAAAACCACAGCATTAATTAAAAAGTAAATTATTAAATAAAAACCATTTAACTAATAATTTAATGACTTTAATAAATTAAAACTATAACAAAACGAAAAATACTTGCCTATTTTAAAATTTACGAGGTAACACAAAATAAACGCTTTTGTCAAATGGCATCTACATCCAGGTATGGTTGGCAAGGTTAATAACGAGGACGGTTATGTTATCGAGGGATCCTTTGTAATAAGCTTGCAGGGTGATACTTTTAGCTCCAAAGTGGGGCTCGCTAAGCCTAGAGGAAACGTAGGCGATGGCTTCTTCGTTGGAGAACATGTCCCAGAGGCCGTCTGAGGCGAGGATGATAAACTTGGGCTTATGGCTCTTGAGGTCGAAAGTGAGGACATCGGGGTCGGCGATCACAAGCCTGCGGTCTTTGAGAGGGTAATCGCCCATCGCCCTAGACGTCGCTAGAATGCCGGCGACACGCCAGACTCCGTTGAAACACACCGATCCGCCGGCCTCTTCTATCCTTTTCTTCTCCCGGCTCTGATTTTCAAATCGGTTAATATTCAAAGTATGGTCAAAAATAATGAAAAATTAATACAAACCTGCTGGGGTTTGTGGTCAAAAGAAAGGGGAATGGCCTTGCCTTTTGAATCGCACATTACTCCCCGCGAATCTCCTACATTGGCCACGATTAGCTTCGAACCTTCTACAATCGCCAACAATGCTGTTGTTCCTTTAAAAACATAAATAAAATCAATTGTGAAATTTCCTGTTGGGGTGATCAACTAGTTTGGGCATTTCTGGCTAATTTTGGTCTACTTATCCTGTTTTGGCCTGTCAGACATGTTTCAGCTTCTCGGCCAAAACACCAAAAAGTGCGAACTGAAATCTGACAGACTAAAACATTAAGGATAAACAGACCAAATGACTGGAAACAATTGTTAAACTAAATTATTTAAATATACAATAAATAACCTATTCATGTTTATTTTCATATTTATTACCAGCTAAGTCAAGGTTCTTCTTGGCCGCTTCTAGTAGCAGTCTGTCAGCGGCGAGAACTTCATCGGTGACCAGTTTACCGAAATTAATAGCAGAGCCTTCGATGTACGAACCAATATCGGGAGCAACAAATGCCGGCTGACGGTTCGGCTTGACTTCCCTAGTGACTACATTTGATCGCGGGAGGCACTCTAACTTCTCAAGGAGGAACGGGTCAGTGACACTGCTGGACTTGTTGCTGTCTTCCATGGAACGGTTCTTAAAACTGGGCTTCTTCTCTAGAGGCTTAGGCGACGGCGGTGTTTTCCTGACTGACCTAGGTGACGGAGGAGGCTTAATTGACAGCGGTTCCTGCGGACCGTTGATTGAAGGCTTGCGTACAACTCCATTCACCATCAGATTCTTCAACTCTACTATTTTGCTGTTCAAGTTGTTTATCAGGTTGTCTCTAGCGTAGTTTGCTGCAAACTGAAAATAATACGAATTTGAGTGTATTCCTATAAATTGAAATCAGATTATCCAAATGTGAGTGATTTATTTCTTATATCCCCCCTAGGATGATCTATAAATTTAAATTTTACCATCACTTAGTGTGTACTTTTCTCCTCGTTTTTCAACTTTTTCTGATTGTGTTCTATCTATCAACTTAATGCCACTTGTAGTTATTAGTAAGTTTTGGTGTCTAGATTATATTAATTTGTTGTAAAAATAACTGAAAATTTCTTCCCTGCCGACCAAAATATATTCAGTTTAGGCAGACAATCAGATTAACGGAGCTCCACTGTATTGGAAGATTTCTCATCATACTCATTAAACTTGCTATGTTAGTGTGGGTTCAAATCCTTGCTTTTCTCTTAGAATTTTATAAAATAGATTAATTTGTCTGGGCCTAAATGTTTTTTTAAATTTTAAATTAATTCCTGCCTGCGAGCCAATTTCCCATTTTGGGTATTGCAATCAAGGGGCCAACCTTACAATACTTAGGCAGCATAGAATAAAATCCATTCCTGTTACGATTACCAGTGTTGCTTCTTTGAAAAGTAGATATAAAGGCAACGAGGGAGAAATACCCCTTAGTCATCAAAGTAAGGGAGCATAGACTCAAGGAAGTGAGAAAACTTGGCATATTTCCATGTTTTTATTAGTTTAAAATTAAATTCTACGGAGAATATTTGCAATGAGGCTAAAAACCCATTGAAAATTTGATTGAATTGATAACAAGTAAAAGTAACTTCAAAATTGCCATGAAAGACTTCTTGGATTTTTTTTATTTTTATTATTTATGTTTTAATCAATGGATCATATTGATTTTTTTACAGGAAGGTATTTCTGTCCACGCTTAAAGTTTGAATATTTTAAGAGGAAGGATTTAGGTCGGAGGCCTTGTAGGGAAAACTATAAATAGTATTATTGTTAGATACAAAACTGTCCATGCCATTTTATCATTTCTCTGAGCAGAATAAATCAATTGATAACGTCAAACTGCCTATTTTACTGATATTTTATATTAAGTTGCTCTTTCATTCAATATAAATTCACTTTATATTTCATACATTAAATTAACATCTAATGAATAAAAACTAAAATATGATACAAGATCTCAGTCAGCTTGAGATACTTTGCTTTTTAATTAAAGAAAGGAGGGGATAGAAAAGATAAAAACCATTAGGCCATGTGGAGTGCTGATTGGCAATTAATCGCAATAGCTTTTTCGTTTTAATCAAAAAATCCTTTTTGGTTAGAAATAATGTGAATTAACGAATAAATTGCTTGATAATAGTTTTTAATATCAAATGATCATTTTTGTTAATTAGTACTGATGTAACAGTTGTTCTTTTTCATAAATAAACAAGATTTTAAACATATATAAAAACAATAGTACTTGAGAAATGTAATCACTGTTTACTTGCTATCTTATTATCACATTGTAATCTCAAAAGGATATTTCAAAAGTTCATTCATTATCGCTTTTTATTATTATTTAACTATATTTTCGTAACAAATTTATTTATGTAGTCTAGTAGTTTTTCGATCGTTTGAGCAGGACCCATGAGAAAATAACACAATTTTATTTTTAATTATTGTAAAAACATGATTTTTTTTTCTAGTAACAGTTTTGCAGTTGCTTTCTGGTAGAAAGTTGTATAACAATATTAACTACCATGCAAATAAAAAAATAAAAAATAAATAAAATGAAAATTTTGAATTTGTTAACTTTTTGTTTTTTGTTTGTTTTACAAATAATTTCAATTGATTAAAGTCAATAGATCAATAGCAATCAATCAATCAATCAATCAATAGCAGCCTCGATTGGTTAATATGATAAATTTTCATTATTTATTTTGTTTTGTGTATGTGCCAAATTAGATAATCAAAATCAATTAAAACTATTTTTATAAATTACCTCTCCACCGTGACCGTCGAAGACTCCATACAAGTGGACGCCGGTCCCGTTTATATTCTCGTTGACTACGAACCTGTCCTCCATCTTGGCCCTACGGCCCTGGATGGCGTAGACGGCAACGTTCTTCTCCTTCAGCTCCCAGCTGAGGCTGTCTAGATCGCCCGATGCCTTGAAGTTCGCAAGTCTCTGGGTTCTCGAAGGCACCGAGTTGCCTACAGAGAGTCGAATCCTATCAACCAAACTCCTCGACCAGATCTCCACGGCCTGAAATTTTTAAATTTATGAATGATCAACAGAATATAAAAAAAAACATATTATAGTAGTACAAATAAAAAAAAGATACTTTAAAACTGAAAAATTAAACAGCCTCTCAAAATAGCAAACGCATCATCTTTAAAATCCAAGCTTTCTCAGTACAACAAAATTTTAGGCCAAAATGTAAAATAGTTAAAAGTAATGAGATTAATTATTATGAATGATGACCTCAATGAATACCTCAACTGACAATGAACTTGATCATGAGTGACAAATACAAGTTCTGAGCATTTGACATCAAGGATACGAAATGCCAGATCCTCCAAAAAGGCCAGTCAATGTTTTTGCTATAGGTTTGATTTCAATCAGACCTTTTCAAAGTTAAAAACTAATTTTACTTTTTACAAACATGAGATTAAACTCTTAATTCAGTTAAGGGTTCGAATTTTATATTTTGCTTTATGAGTACAAACTGTTAAAAGCAACTGAGGCTGCTCACAAAATAAGCTCGGTGTTCGGTTATGATGCACAGTCTATTTTGAAGATGAAATCTGGCCATAATCAAGGAAAAAGCTAGAGGTATCGCATCATCATTAAATTTTTTAACACTTGGTTATGATCTGTCAGATGCATTTAGCATTTTGCCTGCTCCAGCAGTTGGTCAGGGTTATAAGCAGGGTGAGACAAGATGAATCCAGATGAGTGGAAATTAACAAAACTACAGGTTTACCAACCTGGGCACCACAAGGAGTAATCTTACAATGCATTTATTTTGGTCATTTCAAATCATTTTAGTATTAACGTTATGTCAGATGCATTTCAGCATTTTTCCTTCTTTGGAACTTTGACATTTCAAAATTTTATGATAATTTTTCAATGCTGTAGCAGCATGTAAAACACATTTAATTATTTAGCCTACCAATCATCTTAGCCAGCCTACCCTTGCTGAGCCGTTCTCTAAATGTCTGTATGAGACTTGAATGAACAAAATCAAACAGGCACACAGAAATCTCACATTAGCATTATTGCTAAGATAGAATACAATTTGTCACCAATGCCCAAAGTCAACATGACAAAATTCCTATTTTGAGTCAGCAGTGGATCCATTTACATTTGTGGGTTTTAATGTTAGTGAAACGTGTTTCAGCATTGTGCCATCTTCAGTGAGGAACTATATTGACCCATGTGTTCACTGACTCGCAGACCAACATCATAATCAACTTTACGTACTTGATATTCATTAACATTTGTTTATACTAAATATTTAAACAAAACGTCTTTAACTTTGATTACTATTTTGACTGTTCTTTGTTTAGTTAAACTTTGGGCACTTTTACTTATACCAAATTTTATGACAGTTGGTCAAGTATATAAGCAGGATATGGCAAGAAAAACATTTAAACTACATTGAGTCCGTTGCTAGAGATGGTATACAGATAGTTTGTCAACAATGATTGGGGTTTGTTCAACTCCACAAAATGTGTATTAAAAATTCTAAAGAGTTAATTTTAAGATTGAAAAAACTAAAAGGAGAAAGGCCAAAATTTAATTTTAAAGTTGGTACAAGGCAAAAAAAGTGTAAAGATGGTTATATAAATGCAACGCTTTACAGAAGAAAACTTACGAACATACTGCATTAAACACACTACATTAAAACAAAGAAAAGGCAGTGTCAACCACAAATAACACAAACTTGTAAACAGGTTACAATATATAATTACCATGTTATAGATGTAGCAATTAAAAATATCTAATCTATTCCAAAGATGACAACGTAAAAAATCTGTAAACAAATGAAAAAATAACCAACTTTGATATTTTGATCCCAAGATAGAAGGGATCGATCAGGAAGCATTCTTTGCCAATTATTTTGGTTGTGGAAGGTACTTTGTTATACCTTATGGAAGTTTTTGTTTTTATTGAAAGAACCATCTTCTAAAAACTATTTATGATAGTAGAAAAATATAAAAAAGGACTTTTACTTCTACTACTACTTTGTAGCCTACTATACTAGCCAAAACTTAAGACACTTTTAGTTACAAGCCAAATTTTCTTAGTAACTATTGTTTTGCATTTCTTGAGGCTAGTTTTTAAAAAATGTGATAGTTCCTTACTGCAGATAGTACAAAGCTGAAACGCGTTAAGGTAACATCAAAAACTCGTGAGTGTAGATGGACTCTGCACCAGTACAATGCGTCTTCACTGACTTGTAGATGAACATCCACTATCAAAATGTGTATTTATTGTTTAATACAATACAAACACTGAAGACGACGAACTGACAAAAATCAGTGAGGATAGGCAGACCGGGATCATAATTTATTAACAAACAATAGATTTATCACCACACAGACCAAAGGAGGAACCCTCGTAAAATGTGTATTGAGCATAATTCTTAAGATTTAATTTTTTTTGATCACTTGTAAGAATTGTAGAAGGGTGGTGAAAATCAAGAACTGGCCTTATGTAAATAGAAAATTTATGCAGTATTTAGGTAAGTTGGTCCAGATTCAAGGCATTTGACAGCTTAGCTAAGTCATTTAATAATTATAGCACGAATGATTTATCAATCCGAGTTTTTAATATTGTAGATTATTTATAATTTTGATGTACGAATTGTTCAAAGCTCTGTAAAACGTTTATGAACGACAGTAGACGTCCTTACCTGGATGTACATGAAGATGAGGAAGATGGAGATGGTGATGAGGACGACCTCGGGCTTGGCGACGTAGAACCTGACCAGCCTCCATACCTGTGATAAGTGTCCACCATTGAGCGGGAGGCCGACAATGAACTTGGACATGAGCTTGACGTGAGACGTGTACGTCTGATAGAATATCCTGTCCTCCAGCTCATCGTCCATTGTCGTCAAGTTGGATAACAGCTGACTGGAGGAAGGGTTGATGTGACGGAAGGCGGAGGCAATTTCGGCAAAGATCGCAGTTCCGGACGGCCGAAACAGCGAGAACGAGCGGAGCCACGATACGTCTGGAGTGACGGCGAACGAAAGACCCTGGGCCTGGGGACGTGCCAATTACCCGATGCCGACCAGCCCCCTCTCACGAACGATCCCACTATTATCACACAATTTGCCGGGTTTTTTTTTAAATCGGATCGGCAATGTACTAAACAAGGAAATAAATCTACAAATATGTTCCTTCTCAATCTCACGGTATTATTCCGTAAATCATGTTCCCAACCAAAAGCATTGGCACTGACCACTTCCTGGTTGATCCCATCTATCTTGGAATCAAAACATCAAAATTGTTTTTCCTGTCGGACGTTACGTGCTTCTTTCGTTTTACGATATATTCACATAGTAATTTAAGTACAGATTAGATTATTTTAATCGCTTCATAACAGTTCTCTAATAAAATATCAAGTACACGTTAAATACGTTATATGTAGGACATGTGATTTGACAACTATATTTTTAGTCTCTTCATTCCCAAACTTTTATGGTTTACATATCCTCAACTCTTTGGTTTTTTTGGATGGTGTTCTATTTCGACTAGATTTTACAAAATATCAGTCCATTACTCCGCAGACCTTAAGAAATTTTTCATGTTATAGTTCGGCAGCCCTGCATTTTGCCATCTGATCAGGATTATATGTAGAAGTGGTTACAACTATACTTTTAGTTTGTTCATTCCCAATAATTTTTCTTAGCATGTCCTCAACTTTTTGGTTTGTTTGGACCGTTTTCTATTTCGACTAGGTTTTACAAACTGTAGACCAAAGGACATCCCTCATCTTATAGTTCAGAAGTTCTGCATTTCGCCATCTTCAGCGGTTGGTCGGGATAAGTGGTTTTACAACTATACCTTTAGTCTCTTCATTCCCAATCTTTTTTGGTTTACATATCCTCAACTTTTTGGTTTGTTTGGTCGGTTTTGTATTTCGACTAGGTTTTACAAAATGAAGGTCCATTACTCTGCTTTCCTTAGGAAATTTTTTGCATTATTGTTCGGCAGTTCTGCCTTTCACCATCTTCCGCGGTTAATCAGGGTTATATGAAAGAGAAATGATTTGACAACTATACTTTTAGTCTCTTCATTCCCAATCTTTTTTGGTTTATATATCCTCAACTTTTTGGTTTGTTTGGTCGGTTTTGTATTTAGACTAGGTTTTACAAATGAAGGTCCATTACTCTGCTTTCCTTAGGAAATGTTTTGCATTATTGTTCGGCAGTTCTGCATTTCACCATCTTCCGCGGTTAATCAGGGTTATATGAAGGAGAAGTGATTTTACGACTATAATTTTAGTCCTTCATTCCCAATTTTTTTGGTTTGCATATCCTCAACTTTTTGGTTTGTTGGATGGTGTTCTATTTCGACTAGAGTTTACAAAATATAGGTCCATTACTCAGCAGACCTTAGGAAATTTTTCGTATTGCTGTTCGGCAGATCTGCATTTCGCCATCTTCAGGGGTTTGTCAGGGTTATATGTAGGAGAAGTGATTTTACAACTATACCTTGACTCTTCATTCCCAATAATATTTGTTAGCATATTCTAAACTTTTGGGTTTGTTTGGACGGTTTTATATTTACAAAATGTAGGTCTTGTACTCTGGATACCTAAGGACATCTCTTATCTTATAGTTCAGTAGTTCTGCATTTCGCCATATTCAAGGGTTGGTCAGGGTATATGTAGGATAAGTGGTTTTACAACACTACTGCTAACAGAAGATTTTGAATTTCGACTATCGTAAAGCAGACAAACTTTATTGCAAAATATAGGTCCTTTGCTGGTTTTGTATTTCGACTAGGTTTTTCAAAATGTAGGTCCATTGATCTGCATCCCTTAGGACATCTCCAACTCATAGTTCGGTAGTTCTGCATTTCGCCATCTTCAGCGGTTGATCAGGGTTATATGTAGGTCGAGGCAAGTAGGTTAACATCGTTCCTGGGATAGAAAAATGTGTAAAACTGGAGTGGGATTGCATGTAGTACTAAACTACTATTGTACTAAAGGATATTCGTTATGCGAGCTTCTAGAAATTGGCGAGGACGGTTGTTTTACTGAAGTTATTTACTTGAAAGAACATCAACGTGAGTTCATCAACGGGCACAGCTTTCGAATTTGCTTCGAAGATCTTTTGATGTGAATCGGATGGAAATTTTCCAGGATCGATTGTGGCGAACGGGACGATGTCAAGGTTTTGTTTTTGAACACGAGCGATCTTGGAAGGGACAACGTAAACAGCTGTGCTTTTATCAGTTTGTACTTTCTGCCTGACGAGGGGAGATGCTTTTAAGTTTCGTCTGACTGCAGGAGGCCAGTTTCGTCGGGCAGCGCCGCCCAATCCGTTTCTCAGCCCTTGAAAATAGGATTTGGTGAGTCGTAAAATTACGTTGACTCTTATCTCGTGGGATTCAGCTCACCTCCCTCCTCACGATTTTCCGAAACAAAGGCGGATTAAATAAATTCTATCACATTTATATGGGATTGAATGGTGTTTTTGGGACAGTTTCGACGAGGAATGGACAAAATCGTCTTTTGGTAATTATCTATATTGAACCCTGGCTTTCACCTCTCTGTTTTCAGTTTGACATTTGGCTGTTTACCACCCAGACGATGACCTTTGTTCCATACCCTTTATCCTCTTGTGATTTTTCAATAGCTAATAGTGATTTTGATCTCAATCTGAACAAAAAAGAACAGTGAAAATATGCTAACTCATTACAACAACTTGGCTGCAAGTATGTCAATATGGCTGATCCAATGGAGAATTTAAGTTTTCGTAAGCTTATCTGTTCTGACTAACAATCTGTGAATTGGCCCAATGTTCTACAAGTCAATATATATTGACCCAGGAATTGATATGATGGAAATTTTTAACCTTGTCAGAGCTGCTGAGAAACTGCTCACTACAACAGTTAAAGTGGGATTTCCAGTTGGAGCAATCGTGAGTCAAAAGTGGACCGGGCGTAGCACCTTATTGACCTACATAATCTTGTGTTTGACGAGAACTCCATGCCATGCATTGCGCTGAACTTTTTACCTCCAATTGTATTGTGTGTATCGCGTTAACATCATTGATGGCTGATGCACTGTAGAAGTGATGGAATTCAGCTACTATGTCCTCACGAATTACTAGAGGACTGTGCGTTTCTCCTCAAATATGGGCTTCAACCCCACCGAAAACGACCAAATGAACTTCTGTGGAATCATTTCATGCAAATTACAGCTGTCAATTCTGTGCACCCCATCTGTCTTTTCATATCGTAATCACTGTTCTCAAATAAATCCAAGCCGAATTATGAAATTCATAAGCATTAAAAAAGTCTCCGAATACCCGATGAAAAGATGTACACAAGAATTGCTTGATTTTTTAACACTACCTGGCATAAGTTTAAAGGGAACATAACATACAGCAATAGATGGAGTACCTTGGTAAACTTTCAGAACGTCAGCTGAACCCTGAAGAAGACGAGTGAATTATCATTATGAAGAATTGTGTCATATCGTAGGATGTGTGGCTGAAGAAAATGTATTTTTACATCTCATTAATTTTATGTTGTATAATTATGTTTAATATAATTATATTTAAAAGTATTTTTTGTAATTACATGTTCATTAAATTTCATTCAAAATTTATTATAATTAATTAAGATTTTTAGTTGAGATAAAAAAGTCAATGGCACGAGCGGGATTTGAACCCACGATCTTCGGCTTGATACGCCACTGCTCTACCACTTGAGCTATCGTGGCCTCGATCCACTCGTACAGTAACTTCCCATCTCAACCCCACCTTTTGAATTTTCCCTCCATTTTGCCAACTAAAAACCTTAATTAATTATAATATATTAATTGGTCAAGCGGACCACGAAATTAGGGAATTAAATTTATTGTTGTCAGTAGCCAAAAACCGAGTTTGTCATGTGCTGTTTGGTCCATACGGGTTCAGTAATCTAATTCGTTGGTCCAACTGGACTACAAATATGGCTGAACGGGGTCGCGGTTCGCAATCCATTGGTCCAACGGGCATATCCTCCTGGTGCACACACAACACTACTTACAACTGTTAAAATGATTTCATACTTTACAAAAAGTGAACCAAAATACTTACCCCATGTCAATTATTTATAAAGTTGGTTTTGTGTTCGTCATAACCGAAGCACAAATGACAGATCAAAATATCAAGAACCAAGATGATACGACTCAGCATGGCTCAATGGGAAACCTCATAATTTAAGTTTATATTGACATTTTCTTGGTTGGATGGGGATTAAGCCGGGTGAGACAAAACACAAATTTATATATCGGCGAAAGCCCTATCACTATCAGTACTTCTACTTTGAAATTGGATACTTAATGATCCAGGCGATGGCATTTTTTCATACTGTTTGTTCCTTTATGAAAAACTATTTTGCATACTGCTATTTTGAACTGAATTTTATTAAAAATAAGTGCCACAACTCACTGAGATTTCTGAAGGCATGTTGGTTTTTTTGTATGTCATGATGAAAATGTTTCTCCAAGATGATCAGATATGACCAAAGTGCTCAATACGAAAAATCATAATTTGTTTTCAATGTATTCATTGCATTCATTGGTTGATCATGGAATAAGCAGGATGAGGCAACAAACAAATATCCATATTGCCAAAAGTCTCACTTTCATCAGTGCTTTCACTTTGACATTTGACAGTTTATGATCCAGTCCATGGCATTTTTTTCATACTGTTTGCTCCTTTATGCAAATTCTATTGTAACTGGTTGGAGGACAAATAGTGATTTTGAACTGAATTTGAACAAAAAATAAGCAGTCCCATAACATATTGTGATTTCTGATGACAAGTCGGTTTCTTGTATGTCATGAGCAAAATCTGACATTTAAATAAAAAGGACCGATTACAGGTCCATCACCCCAAAGTGCTCAAGAAGAAAAATCATAAATTGTTTTGAATTGTATACAGTTCTGGGTTTCTCCCACAACCCATGGCTTTTTAATTGAGAATAATGGAAAAAGTATTTTAATGTGGTTTCATCTTTCGCCAGTGACACCCTACAAGTTGTCCATTAAGAAAGGAGAAACTCATGATTAAATAATAACAATCTATTATTTTATAAAAATACCGCCAAGGGGAATAAATGGTTTAATGTAACTATAATGAGATTTCCTCTTCGGGTGTCAAACCTGTAGTTTGATTTCATGCTTCTATTTTTGTTGGCTCTGGATAAGAATCTGGTTTACAAAAACCAAAAAAAAGCTTTTCCAAATTCTTTATTTTTTATATAGATGCATTTCGAGGCTTTTTCTGCCTCCTCCTCAGTACATTTTTATTTTGAGTGTTAATAGACGACTTAATTTGGTATTTTTGATAATGATTATTAGAAGATCGTGAGATGCAGTCTGGTGTGATGTAGAAAAACATTTTCTTTATTATGCCAACATTCCGATCTTTATTGAGATCATCTTCAGGGCCTGGGGTTTATAAACAATGTTTAAATTTTACCAATACATGTAGGATGTGAAAAAATCTTAGGATCTGAAAAAACGATCTTCAAATTAACTAACGGTCACTAAACACCACAAATTTTTGATCATTTTGGTTTGCCTATCCTCATTGTTTATGGCATGTGCTAGCTACAATTAGCAATTAATTAAGGTTTTTCATGATAAAAAAAGTCAGTGTCACGAGCGGGATTTGAACCCATGACCTTCGGCTTGATACGCCGCTACTCTACCACTTGAGCTATCGTGACTTCGATCCACTCAGGCACTAACTTTCCATCTCAACCCCACCTTTTGAATTTTATCTCCTTTTTGCTATTTTTCAATGGATGGGAAGTTAGTGCCTGAGTGGATTGAAGCCACAATAGCCCAAGTGGTAGAGTAGCGGCCTATTGAGCCGAAGGTTGTGGGTTCGAATCCCGCTCATGACACTGACTTTTTTATCTCAACTAAAAACCTAAAAATTAATTGAATGATATTAATTGGTCAAGCGGACCAAGAAAACTAGTGAATTTACTAGCTACAACGTTTGATGTTGAAAATAGCAAGTGTAGGCAGTTCAGAATATTCAGAAATATTTAATTATTAATTTTTCTTTTATTTGACTTTTTTCTTGTATTACACTGCATTTTTAAAGAAATAGATAGCGTAATTCTTACAGTTTTTACTTTCATGCAAATAAAACTATATAGTAGGAATAGACAGATTTTCTCAACAGTAGTCTTGCACATATTAAAAAAACTTTAATAACTAGGGTCATACTATCTGAATATGTCCAACATAAAAACAAAATTATTGCAGATCATGTGAGGTGAACAAAGTGTTTGTATGGAGTTCCGTCAACTTGTGAAGAAGAGGAGTAGAAACAAAATTCTATATCAGCTCAAGATGGATATGATGTTCGAAGCCTACCTGACCCATGACTCAGACCGTCCTGAACCCGATGATATTCCTCAGACGAATGAGCCGGTCTGGATCCTAGGCAAGAAGTACAACACTGTCCATGGTAAGGGATGCTTATTTATTTCAAAGAATTTCTAGTCAAACTCGGGTTTATTAAGACCCAGTGTCCGAGGCTTATTATTTCTCTACGCTGGGTTTATTTATAATACTTCGACTATGTTATAATCTTTGATAGAATTTTAGCAGTTTATTTAATTTCTGAAATATATTTTATTCATAACATCATCTAGTATTGTCTTCATGGTTAAAGAATTGCATGAAAGATTCTTTTTTTAGCGTCTCCACCTGGGTTTCTATCTAAAGATCTTAACTCGTTCTTTAGATTGCAGCCTCATATTAACAGAACTGTCAGTTTTTACAATCGCACACAATACACACTCCATCACTGATGGAATACCATAAGTAACTTTATCAGCCCTCAAATGTTAACGTAAGTATGCCAGATGGAGCATTTTTACATATATTCCTCCACCGAACCTCAGTCAAAAGTACGAAGGGGATAACAGAGTGACATACTTCACCATCACTTCTCGTCACTCACACTCATTCATTTTCACCCAGAATTTACAAGAAAAACACTGATAATAAACCCGACTTCTTTTAAAAGCAAAACAAGGGACGAAGCATGTAACTTTTGTGCTCAAGAACTGTTTTCTCTCTCAGCAAAAAGTCATGACATTTAAATTATATGTCACATCATGTTGTCTTTTTCTACAAGCAGTGCCATGTCTCAGAAAAGTACGTCTTATTTTTAACAAGTGAGTACAATTCCTTGTTTGCAGCCAAATTCTTGGAGGGCGTTGAGCAGTAGCGATCTTGATAACACTGATGCTGCTACCTTTCTTTTAACATATTCTTTACCTACTCATTTAGCACATCAGTGGGTTGGACTGTGGTAGTTCTAGAGGGTGGAAAGTCCGGTCTTTCACCATTTCATCCACACATTTATGGCTCTCCGATAATTTCAGGTGCCCGTCTACTTACATTTTTCTTAGTTATTCCATCCATATGCTCTCTTTTCAATAAAAGCATACAAAGAGGTCCACCAAAAATCTATCCTTTTAAGCCTCCAATAAAATTGGCAATAATTTAATCTGTGAAGCTTGAGATGTGATTATTACTAGTATTGAGAAGAAGAAGAAGAAGAAGAAAAAAATCAAGCTTATTCATACTTTATGTTCATTTTATGTAGATATTGAGTTGATACGAAGTGACATCAGATCGAGGCTATGGTTTACGTACAGAAAGAATTTCATACCGATCGGAGATTCTGGCAAGACTTCAGACAAAGGCTGGGGCTGTATGCTCAGATGCGGTCAAATGCTTATGGCCCAGGCCTTGCTCAACCACCATCTAGGTATTTTCAGTTGGTTGTGAACAAATTGTACCTTTTGTTTAAATGTTTTCCATGGATTTCAGGCCGAGACTGGCTTTGGAACATTTCGTACAATGACGAGAAATATGTTCGGATCGTGAAAATGTTCGAGGACAGAAAGTCCGCAGGGTATTCCATACACCAAATCGCATTGATGGGCGCTTCTGAAGGAAAACAGGTCGGCGATTGGTTTGGGCCTAACACTGTCGCTCAAGTACTCAAGTGGGTTTTGTTAAGAAACGATCATTTCTACGAACTGAAATTAATTTTTTTTTAAATAGAAAACTCGCACGATACGACGACTGGAGTAATTTGGCCGTTCACGTTGCCCTGGACAACACAATCGTACTCAATGAAATTTGTAAGTCCTGCTTATTTATTTTCAATTGGAATGAAAATAACCTAATTATTGCAATTTCTACAGGTTCCCTGCAGAGAACTCGATGGAAACCGTTAGTACTTATCGTACCTTTAAGACTAGGAATAAATGAAATCAATTCTATTTATATTCAAGGCCTCAAAGTATATATTTTTTTTAAATATTTCATTTGACATTTTTGAATGCTTATTAATACTGTACTTTTATTTAGGCCTGCTTTACATTTCCTCAAAGCCTTGGCGCCATCGGAGGCAAGCCGAATCATGCTCTTTATTTCATTGGAATAGTTGGTACGTAATTATCATTTAAATTCAAAATTGATTTAAACCATACTTAGGTGTTTTATCTTGTTGATTTTACTATCAATTGAATTAAACTAAATGTGCTATCTACTTCCCAGTATTATCATAAATGTTAATACTATCACAAATATTATTAGTAATAGCTACTAAGTAAACTAATTCTGATAGTGATTTAGTGTCATTTTAGACAATAAATCCCAAGATACTTAAGAAATTATTGCACAATTAGCATTAATATCATGATATGACAGATTGTGTTTTTATTGTTTACCTGTGTACAGTTCGAAGTACACTTTTAAATTGCTGCTCAGTATATCTGAAATATTTTTCAACAGGACCTCTTTATAGCTGATTTCAGAAAAAAATTAAATTTTCATTTCTATGATCTGAATTTTAAAATTTGGCCGGGGATCGCAATAGCCAAGTGGTTAACATGATAGATTCTTGGCTCGTAGATCCTGCAGTTGAGGGTTCGATTACCACCACTGTCCCTGATCTTTTTACCCTCTTCCTCCTCCCAATATTAAAAAAATACACATACACAGACTTATCCTCTGTCTAATATACAAGTTCATAAAATTATATAAGGCTATTTAAAAATAAATTTTTTGACAAAGCATAGAAAAATAATTTAACTGTAGTCTGGTAGAAATTTTATGGTGCCCCACTCATAAATATCTGTCAAAATTAAATATTTAAGGTAACGATGTGATATTCCTGGACCCTCATGTAACACAAATGTCTGGAAGCTTGCACAACAAGACTACAGAGCAAGAGCGCAAGATTGATAATTCATACCATTGTCACCAAGCTAGCCGACTGCATATTCTCCATATGGATCCTTCAGTTGCGGTTGTAAGTTTGAATCTAATATATATATAACAATTTATTTATTATCTTTCTTTCCCAGGGTTTCTTCTGCAAATCGGAAGAGGATTTCAATTTGCTCATAAAGCAGATCAGGGAGACTGTCATGTTGGACAAGCAGCCGTTGTTCGAGATCAGGGACAAGAGCCATGTACCCTGGGCTGAAAGGGGCCAGGAAGCGACATCTCTCGCCCACGTTCATGGTAATGAAATGAAAAAAGAATGCAAAGTTCAGAATAATGAAATTTTACAAATATTTACATGCATTTCAGTTCATCGACACCGCAATCGTGATGATTCAGATGAAGATTTTGAAATTATAGAATGAATACTGCGAAAAAGAGAATTTCTATTCTACCGTTTTTTGTACATAGATTTGAAGATTAATTTTCAATGCGCATTGTTTTTTGTTTTTTAAAGGACAATGCACTTAATTTTATATAATTATTGTAATTGCCTATTAACGCATCAGAATTTTTAACACTACAAGTTGATTAATGTTTTCTTTTTCGTGTAGAATATTCTTAATATGTCGTTCTGTTTTATTTATACTTTTCTGCCTTGTTGTTATTTCATTTACTTGTGATTAAATTGTTAAACTATAAAACAATGAACAATACCAATTTTTGTTTATATTTATTTTTTACTTTATAAAATGTTTCTTTTTATAATTTTTGTTTTTTATTTTTATTTTATTATATTTTTTTACAAGTGCCTTTTGTTGACAGAACCGGTTGATAATTTAAAACGTACGTGTATAGTGTGTTCAGAAAGAGAGAGAGAGTGAGAGAACGTGTGTAAAATATATAATATAAAATTATTGTTATTATTATGTAAATGGAAAACATCACTTATATAAAAAAGGAAAGAACTTTGTAATTTATATTTATCTTTAAAGAAATTATTTGTATACATATGTGCTTTTAAAATCCAAAAAAAGGGACTGAAATATATAAGTTCATTTAATTTTTTTTTTTCTTATAAAACCCTAATGTTTCAAATGAAATTTTGTACAAGATTTTTACAATTTGTTAACTTTTTTAAATGAATGCCTAGACCTCATTGGCATGTTCTGTGGTTAAACGATCTAAAAGTCAACACGTTTTCTCTCATACGTGACACCTGCCCACCTGTGCACAAGGTAATCCAACCAAGTCCACTACCTGGACTTTACTCGGATAGCAGACTTACATGATACAAAAGACATGAGCTCCACAAAAGGTGTGGATATGGTAAGCGTAGATAAACCAACCACTTACGAACACTTATGAGCATGATTTGGCTTCATCCAACATTCAACAAATCGAACACTTTCAATCTAAGTACTCTGTTGCAAACTCAATGCACCTTCTACACCACCAATCTAATGATTCACAAGATCAAGACAACCCATTTGTGGAATATTTGTTCTGAACACATTTCCACAATTTTCAGTCCTCCACCCTTACTAATAGCACAAGCTCTTTCTTCAACATTCCTTCCTTAGGTTCCTTCCTAGGTTGCTTTCTTTTCCAGCCCATCCACACTCGTCGTCCTCCTTACATCATCCAATCCCTCCAATTCAACTCCTCACATCTCACTCGAGCGATAGGAGCTTGAAATATCAGGAGTAAAATGAAAAAGAGCTTTGCCTAACAGGAACCACTGGAGTTCGAAATCTCAGGAGAAAAGGAATTTGAGCCCAGGGGTGCAACAAAGGCTCAGAACTGAAGAGATAAGAGCTTAAATCATCAAAAAAATTATATTTTAGGCAATTTAAGCTCATATCTGTGAAAGGGCCCTACCCAGGAGCCATGGAAGCTTGAAATGTCAGAACCCACATAAAAAAGTTATGCAATCGGGGATGATTGGAGCTTAAATATCAGGAATAAACTGGAGAGGTGGTCGGGCTAATAGTAACCAGAAAAGTTGACATCGCAGGAGAAAATGATTTTGAGCGCAGGGGGGCAACTAAGTTTCAAAACTGACTGTAATTAACTGTTTAGATTTTTGACCATTTAAGCTCTTATCTGTAAAATTACCCTGGCCATAGAATCCATTCTTTCCATCCATCCTTTCTGATCCGATCCCCTAAACTCTGGAACTCCCTTCCCCTTTCTATTCGTCACGCTGCCTCCTTTTCCTCCTGTATAATCACCTCCTCTCCCTCCAAGCAGAGACCTCACGTTAACATTTGTTATTTTTGTTTAATATTCTCGTAATTTTTTCTTCTGTCCTGCCTTATTTTGGTTTTAATTTTGTTTTTTTTTTTTTTTTTTTTTTTTTTTTTTTTTTTTTTTTTTTTTACTTTTAACTTTCATAGAAGGAACTTCTTTTATTTATTTCATGTAAATTATTCTTAGGGGACACCAGTCCCAGAATAAAGTAATTTTTCTTCTTTCTTCTTATCCTCCATGCTGTCTAAAATACCAACGACAACCTGGTATCCCAATATCAAAAAAGCAAAGAATTCCAGCACTTTCTGATTTCATTCACAACCACCCCATTGTCTGACAAATCTTCATATTGTTTATATGTACAGCAATAAATAAATTTCTTTACAAAATACATTTTTTGTGTGTGATTTTGTAGTAGGGTTTACGGTGTGATGAACTTGTAGTTTGGCAACTTATGATCATTTTTGTATTCTGATACTTGCTGTTATGGTATGTTACTGGTAGTTACGGGTATAAAAAGAGTGAGGCAGGAACTTTAAATCAGGAGAACAACACAAAGTTGGGACAGAAGGAAATAGGGTCATATTGTTTATTGTAAACTAAAGGTGGTAAGGAATGGAGGAGGGAACACAGCTTGGGACTTTATTTTAATTTTATTTATTATAATTTTTTTTGTGTATGGAAGGGGGGGTAAATTACAGGGGCGAAGGTGTGAATCGAACCCATGATTTTGGGTATATGAGCTGAGAGCTGACCACTTGGCTACCACAGTGGCCAAAGTTCAAATTAAGACCATTTTCATCAGCCCAGGAGCTAATTGAATTTAAGTCCCCTTTGATTCTTACAATTACTTCTTGTAAACCAGGAGGTGAGAAAGAATTTGAAAGACAATTGTATAAAGATGATGGGAAAAATATTTTACGGATTGCTCTGTTTAAGTAAAAATTATGTGCTATGTATTTCTTTGTCATGACTGATAAAACAGAAACCCAACGAATAAGAAAAATAAATTTGACCAAATAAAAATTTAAAATTGAGTTTGGAAAATTGGTTAATTATGCTTTAATGAAGATCTTGGGTGTCTGTTAAATAAATAATTTTAGTATTAATATAATATACAATTAGTAATTAATGACTTAGTCATATGAGCAGAGCTAGCATGGTCGCCAAAGCCCAAGTTAAAACCATTTTAACAGCTCAGGAGATAATTGAGTTTGAGTCCTTTTGAATTCTTATAATTGCAGCTGTAAATCAGAAGGTGGGAAATAATTTGGGTGTCACCTTTATAAAGGTGATGGAAGCAAAAAATGCATGCACAAAAAATTAAAGTCCTGTGTATTTGCTCTCCCATGTTCAATAAAACAGAAACAATGAATTTTATATCAAAATAAAAAAAATTGACGAAATAAAGATTTAGAATTGAGTTTGGAAAATGGATTAATTACGCATTATTGAATATCGTGGGTGACTGGCAAATGAATAATTAAAGTGAAAATCAAGCCATTTTAAAGATAATAAAATAAAATGGTTGAATTTTTTTGGCTATCACAGTTGTCAAAGTTCAAGTTAATACTGTTTTAGCAGCCCAGGAGCTATTGAGTTTAAGTCTTTTTAAATTCTTACAATTTAACAATTTAACTTTTTTTTTAACCTTGCACAGTGGCAATATAATCAATGAAGTTCTACTGAGATGTGATTATTGCTAGTTGAAACAATTTCAGCTTGTAAGTGAGGAATGGGAAGAAAAGGTGAAGAAAGAATTTGAGTGTCACCTGTATAAAGGTGGGAACAATATTTTATGGATTTCCCTGTTTTAGTACTGTAATAAAAATTTAAAGTCCTGTGTATTTGCTCTGTAATGTTTGATAAAATAGAAAACCAATGAACTTTCTATCAGAAGAAAAAATTTGACGAAATAAAAATTTAAAATTGAGTTTGGAAAATGGATTAATTACGCATTATTGAATATCGTGGGTGACTGGTAAATAAATAATTAAAGTGAAAAACAAGCAATTTTTAAGTCAATAAAATAAATTCGTTGTACTTTAGTATTAATTTAATTAAAATTATTAGTAATTAAAGAATTAGAACTGAAAGTAATAGCTAAAAATGGATCTTTTGAAATTTTGAACGTCCCGTTTTCGATCAGTTTTGTAACTAATTGTAAGTAGAATAACTACTTTTATGTATTTTTTCACTTCAATACTGCTTTTTAAACTTATCTATTTAAATTTTAAGACAGAAAAGAGCAAACTCCCACCAAAATTGCATTTTATTTTGCCGCAAGCGCTCCTTTCATTGCTTAAGCGCAACTTAAATTTAGCATTCTGTTGTTTTTTTTTGTCAACACGAAACTATGAAAGTTGAAACTTGAAATTAACAGAATATAAACAATTTGTCCGTTCTTCCTCATGGAAAGTTCCGTGCAACGACGTCGAATCGAGTGATTTTTATGGTAAAATTTCTCAAGAAGACGCCATACGCGCCATTTAAAAGTGTTGTTTAAAAAGTTCATCGGGCGGACGTTTAATAAAATGATTATTTTTTTGTATAATTAGCTTTATTTATAGTCCTCTTTTTTGTTAAATGCATGCCGTTTGATAGTGTTTTCTGTTGTCAAGCTCTGAGAAATTTGTACACGAACAATTATGGTAAGGCGGCTTTAATACCACAGTAGATTTTTGGCAGTAGTTGCACTATTATTTATAAACTAGAAACTATTTAAAAAATCGAACAATTTTTAATGTGACATTCTCCAATAACATTTTCCATTTGTATTCCATTTATAATAAATAACCAATTAAAACGAAAACATTGATTATTACAGCTGTTTAAATTTCATTGTTTTTTATTTTTTTAAATTTTGTTTTTATTGTTTGCCCACTTTTTGGCAGTCCTCTTAAAACAAAATGGGGAGGTTGAACGAAGGCCCAGGCATACTTTGGGTAGGAGAAAATATTGCTCCTGCAGTCGCATGTGACCTAGGACTTCATTGTGCTTAACTTTCTCACTTTAACATCAGAACATTCAGAGCATGTACATTCGTGTTGCACCATCCACAGGCCTTCCTGGTCCAGGGTCTGAACGTGACCCAAGGATTCGAAGAGCACACCACCTCACCGGACATCTCTCCGGTTCTCACCTTTTCTACTCAGCTTGAACTTCAATAAATTATCATTTCCAGTAGGTTCATCACTAAGAGTATCCTTAATCTGGTTACAAATTTCATAACATCTTCTGGTATTTTCATATTGTCTGCAATTAATGGTCAACATGATACAAGTACCCAAAAAAGGAGGTACCCTGCCACGATGATCGGATGGTTGGTTGAGCTTACAATGACCTAAATCTCCTAATAGAAGAGATCCAACATTTTGGCTTTCACTTACCTAAGTTTGACATCAGAGATCGTGTGCCATTCTTCGTATGAGAATTTTGTGTTTTTATGACGTTTCTCCATTGAAATTTACAGTTTTCCTAGATGATGTGTCTTTTCATTTTCTGATATCCCTCAGTGCTCAGGAACCCATATAAAAAGAATTTGAATCACGATTGCCAAATAAAAGTAAAAATTGTTTGCAAGCGCTAGTAACACTGACAACAGTAGAGATGATAATCATGTTGTTTAGGGGGAATAAAAAATTTAAGCACTTTGTTGTTGCTACAAGCAGTAAGGCAATAATTTCAATTATTTCACACGAAAGCTGCGCCATAACCTATATCATTTCGGACCCATTTGTAAAAGTCACTTTTGGGTTTCAAAAGGAATCTGTAATTCTTTAAAATTGTTTGCAAGTGCCAGTAACACTGATAATGAAACAATGGAGGTGATACGCGTGTTGTTTAGGTGGATTAAAAAATTTATGCTGTTCGTTATTGCTATGAGCTCAGTAGTAAAGCAATGATTTCAATTTTTCACATGAAAGCTGCACCTGAACCTACATAATTTTTAGACCCATTTGTAAAAGTCACTTTTGAGTTTGGAAGGGCATACATAATTCTGTAAAACTTGTTTGCGAATATGTGGAGGAGTATTCTGTCTTAGGTATTTATTTCATTGTTTAAATAATAGCATTTATGATTGATAAAGAAGAATCTTGGAACAGTTTATAAATTAAAAAAAAAAAAAATTGAACTCAATAATTTCATAGAAAACTAAATTTAAATTGTTTTTTAGACGCATGAGGTTTTCTTGATTTTTAATTTCCCAATATCAAATCCATTACAAATTGCTTCTGCAAATTTTTTGTGAAAATGTATAAAACTACAATGAAAAATTGATTCAGCCATAGGATGATTGTTGGTAAATGTACAATATAAGTATATTTTGTATATTTATCTATGTATAGATATTTATTAGTTAGCTAACTACAGAGTCAATAAGTCTGGATATTAAATATACATTATTCGTGGTTTGTGGGTACAAAAAAAAAAAAAAAAAAAAATGTTTTCAGCATGTAGTGTTAAATTAATCCATTATAAGTTTTTAGTTGGTTCAATTGCCCAAAGTAATTACTTTTAATTATTATGCAAAATATGGTTGAGTTGGAAAATTAGTGGGACTCGATCCTGAATCAGTCCCCGGTGCTTCTGCTATTTAAGCAATCATGACTTCTTGAAGAAGAATATAAGTTCTATTTCGTTATGATCCGGAGGTTGTGGGCTTGTGACACTAATTTTTCAACTCAACAATCCTTTGCATAACAGGTAGTGTTAAATGTTCATTTCATTTTTTATCTTATTAATTAATAATTAATTGCTATGGTGGTTGTGATTTGAAATTCCAGGATGCACAACAAAATGCTGCAATGCTTGTATCAAAGCAGAACAAGGTAAAAAATATTTGGTAATATTACAAAAGTGTTTCTAATTAAATATTCTAAGATTGTTAAAGTTATTGTAGTTAAAAAAAAATTATTAAGTAAAATTCTATTATTTTTCAGGTAAGATCGGAACCTGTAACTTATAGAGATGAAGTTGATGAAATAGATTACACTCTCATAACGAGCAAATTTCGTTCTCTTTCCGACTTCCAAAAATTACATGCGATGCAGAACGTGAGGGAAGTTGTAGACAGAAAGAGCGGCGGTTTCCCGCTCATCTCAGCTCTATTCAATTCTGGTTTCTTTCCGATCCAGTCTGGTAACCCTTTGAGCCAGCTGCTGGCCAACGACTGGCGTGTTCGCCCCAACACGATTCGCCGTCCCGTCCCATCGGCATGCCCGGCACGAGTGGAGGACTGGAGGAAGTTTTGTAAACCTTTCCTGAAGATCGACCTCGGTGTGTTCCCCGTACCCGATTTTAGATTCTCTAGGGATGTATCACATCTCCCGGAGCACTACAGGGTAGAACGCGAGCCGATAAACCCACCGAGGCTCTACTGTCCTGCGCCGATCAATGTGGTCATCGGCAATTTGAGTATACTCAACCACACTTCGAATGTACAGAATTTTTTTACGAGTACAACTGGAATTTACTCTTCACAGCAGGCTCAACCACAGACGTATACATATTGTTTTGACCAACATTTAGCACTTAAAGCTAACAACTACTTCTGAAATCTTGAATTTTTTCCCCTTCATTGTTACTGAAACCGATTTTGTTCATATTTTTTGAAATTTTTGTGAAGAAAGAATCACTACAAACTATTTAAAAGAAATGAAAGTGTTAACATGTCATGTAGTTCTTTGAAATGATTATTCTTTATTAACTTTTTGAATTTAACATTTTCTTAATTTTTTTTAGTGCATAAAACAAAACTAATCAAAATTAGAAATAAAAAATATATTTTGAATGGAGTTATTAATAAAAACAATATAGCAGAAATATATTTTTTTTATGTTAAAACATAATTACTACATACTAACGACTATTTTTTTTGTCCATTTATCAAATGTTAATGTTTCAAATTGCTATCTTCAACGCCTTTCCTGCAGGTTACATATAATACCATAACACTGTGATATCATTGTGATAATTTTAATTATTGTATTACATTATAATTTCAATAAAATATTATGATTTTATAGCCTTTATAAAAATAATAAAAGAGGGCCAATGTTTGATGACATTTGCTTCTGAACAATTTGAGAAAAAAATGAGTACATTACTGTCAGTAATTACAAGAAATTAGTTGTACAATGTTTTGTCGTTTGAATAGTTAAGTAAGATTAACAAACAATTAAATGTTATATGGTTCCTTGTTGAGGTCTGCAGGGTGATGAGCCTTTTGTCTGGTTGTTTCCGATCTTCCAGTAAAGCAGCGAGGAGAAAAGCAGAAATGATCAAATTACAATTAAAATCTATAGTTTGATACTTACCTATCATCCTGGTCTCCCTATCCTCACTATTTTATTTGTCAGATGCGATTTGACATTTTTCCATCTTTAGCCATTCAAATCTACCGAAAGGCATCCGACATACAAAATCATGGAGGATAGGCTGACCAAGATGATAGGTAACTATATCTCGCACTCATGAGGATATTTCACAATAGACATTAAATGTTATGTTTGCTTACTTAAAAAACAAAACGCAATATAACAGTTTGATAATACTTCAATATTCAAAATTTTAAAATTGAGCATGGAAAATAAAACTATAAGACTAATAGGATATAAATTTAGATCTAAAATTGACTAATCACCGCAGAAGTATGAATTTTATGAACATTAATGCAAACGTTTCAAATACAGTCAAATTCAGTGTCAAAAGTCAGGCAAATATTGCATTTGAGCTCATAGTTTTCATACCAACGGCAGTCGCAATACTTGCGCTGCTTCACAATACGCCCTGTGTAATTTCTACCGCAGCAGACTTCTTCGCAGTTCTTAACATCGCTGCAAGCCCTGCCTTTTGAATACTTGCAAAAGTCTTCAGATGGGTCAATGTAGCCTAAGTTTGGGAGTTTATTGATGATTGGAGTTTTAATTCTGAAAAAAAAGAAAAAGTAATTGTTTATGTGTTAATGAGGTTGGTTTTTGAGCTACCTGTTTGAAAGTTGCCATTGTTGAGCTAATTGATATTTTATTTTTAAATGTGCCAAAACGACAACAAAAGGTGATGGCACATTCCAACAAGTTTTTGATGAGCACGCACCAGAAAACCCGTGACATTTGCATTTCTTAATACCCGAAGCAAGTAATATCTAAAAAAACATAAAAAAAGAAATCTGAATGGAATTTTCTATTTTCTATCAGACAATTACCTTGAGTCCAAGTAGCGAATTGTGGACAAGGACGTTGTGCTGTATGTGACCATCTTGAGGCTTGAGTGACAAAAAATTGCTCACATATTCGCAAGCATGGTTGAGTTGGGAGCAGCCGGGATTTGGCCAGTCAGGGTTGCAGCTTTTGCAAAATGAATTCATTTGGCCCTTTGCGCAGTCTCTGGCTATCCTGTCTGCAATGCTCGATGCAAGACTTGCGTACAGTACACCTGTCTCTCGACTGGCTGTTGATTTAAAAAAAAATAAAAAAAAAAAATAGAGAAAAAATCCTTTACTTGCTTAATCACCTTTTTTGAAAGTTTCTCTTTTGATGGTACAGTTCCACGGTTCAAATCGAAAGATGGTCTCGCAGGCTTTTTTAACCTGGTTTGTAGCTCTTTGTAAAACCTTTTCATTTGAAACACCATCTTGACGGATATGGTTTATGCCCCAGAAAAGTCTTTCAGCGCGTCTTTGCAAAATGGACTTCCCTTTCCTGAACCATATGCACAGATACTAAAGTATATATAATGGGAAAATATCCAAAAGGGTAAATATATATGTAAATAATAATTAAATTTTGACTTAGCAGAGACATAAAGACATGGCATAATGTCACTAAAAAGGGGGTGTAAAATAGATATAAAAAGATACATAAATAGGGTGATAGATAAAAAGATACATAAATAGGGTGATAGATAAAAAGATATATGGATATATGATAAATGGAATGACTGATAGGTAAATGTACATAATAATACAATAGGAGGAAGAATTGAAGGAAGAAGAAAGAAGGAAGAAGGAAGAAGAAGGAGGAAGAAAATTGGATATAGATAGCGATAGATAAACATAAATAGAAATACGTAGAATGACCTATAGCAAAATTGATATAATTTTTTTCATCTTTTCATTTATATGCCATTCTATCATTATATCTATTTTGCTATTGGTCATACTACATATTTCTATATATGTTTTTCTATCGTTCATTCTTTCATTATCTATTTATCTGCCATTATTTCATTATATCTATTTATCTATCAACCATTAAATCGATTTATCTGCCATTATATCTATTTATCTATCTTTCATTCGTTTGGTTTATCTATATATTTCTCAATTGTTGATTTATCAATTTATCTATCATTATATCCATTTTTCTTCCTCCTGTTCTATCATTATGTACCTATCATTATATAAATATATAATATAATGATATACATAAATACAAATACATACATAAATAAATACATAAATAACATTACTCCAGAATATAAATGCAGAAACTATATTTTTGCCCAAATCTGTAGGAAAATGCTTGAGACAAAAATCATGGGAAACAGGGTGGCATTGTGTTGGGTGAAAGGGCATGTAGGCCTATGGCAAAATGAAACGGTGGACGCACTTGCAAAGGAGGCTGCAACATCAGGTCCAACCCTTGACATTAAAATTCCTAAAGATGACGGGAAAAACTTTTTGGAAAAGTTTTGTAGAAATCTGTGGCAAGAAAAATACAACGCATCAAATGTTGGCAATTATTACAGGTCACTGTTCCCTGAGCTCAATAAAAAACCATGGTTTTCGGAAGGCGATAGCCCAGAAGGAATGTCAAAGGAGTTCTATTCTACTATTTTTAGACTGAAGACAAATCATGGCTTATGGGGTAGCTACAAGAAGAGAATCGGTTTGGCATCGTCTCCGAACTGTCCCACTTGCGATTGCCCTTCAAATCCTTCCCACATAATTTTTGAATGTCCAGAATATGAAAATGAAAGAGACAAACTGCTAAAAAATCTGAGCAAAGTCCCAAACATTTCCAAACCAATAAACTTAGAATCTGTCCTAATAAGCAACAATCCATGAGCTTTTAACATAATCTATGGATTTCTAAAGTCGATAAACGTTTCTTTTTGACTATCTTCAACCATGAAAATTTAGAAGATGAGAAGATGATGGAGCTGAATGAGTGGTGCGGGCGCGCGGCGGGGACCTGGACCTGGTCGGCCGATCACGCTCGACAGTAAAATGAAAATAGAAAACTTCATGGGTAATATGCTAGCGTAACCCCCCCCCCCAAAAAAAAAGATATACGTATATAATAATGATTGATAGATCAATACATTCTTGAATGGTAGATAAATAGATGTAATGATACATATATAAATTCATAAAATGGCCGTTAGATAGAAAGTTTGGTAGATAAGTAGATATAATGTTAGATAGAATGACTGATAGATAAAAAAAATATAATGACAGATAGATAAATAAATATATAGCATGAAATAATGATAGACAGCTAAATTAATATATATAATGATAGACTGGAATATAGATAAATGGATAGAATGTAACATAGAAAAATAGATACGATAGAATGGCAGATATATAGAGCGAATTCCGATGGATAAGTAGATATACTCGCTAATAATATAGCTAATATGATACTATCTATATTAGATTAATAAATAGATATGATGATAATAAATAGAAATGATAGAAAATTAGACAGAAAGATAGATAAATAGATGAATACAGAAATAAAAAGATACAAAGGCAGATAGATAGCTAGAATGGAAGATAGATAAATAAGCATACAGGAAGATGCAATGATAGATAAATACGTGGAATGGCAGATAGATACATAGAGAGATAATTAACAATAGATAAGCACATCTAACTCTTTCCTGAGATATTAACATTTTGGAGATTTTAGTCTAAAATCAGATTTTTTAAAACGTAAAATCGTAATTTCTCAACTTTTCGCGTTATTGATATACAAATCTGACCTTTATTTCACAAAGTACAATAAATTTCCCACAAGGTAAAATTTTCTTTTAAAAATTCACCGTGGCCGTTCAAGGAATACAAAAAATGGTAAAAACAATGTGTTTTTGTGGAAATATTCAAATGTAGTTGGTGCAATAACTTTTTCATCAAAGTTTTCGGGGATTTCGCCAAAATTGCCTTATTTTATAAGTATTCCAACGACATAGTAATTTTTACATTTTTTTTAGAGGTTTTAACACTGAATTCTCTTTGGCAAGGTAGATAAACGTGATATCGAACTCCAGGAGAGCAGTAACATCGTACATGTCATATTTTGAATAAAAACATTTATTAGTTGGTAACAAAATTTAGATACGATCTTTTCAGAAAGTGTACGTAATTAAATAAAAATAACAATGAAAATGAAATTTCATTCAATTATGCATTTTAGCAAACAACTAACCAAAATTCTAAAAAAATGTAAAAGAGTACATGTCGTTCGAATTCTTATAAAGTAAGGCAATTTTGATGAAATCCCCGCAATTTTGATGGAAAAATCATTGCACCAGCCTCAATTGAGTACTAAACAAATAAAATAAAATACAATAAAATAGTAATAATAAATATATTTTAAAAAAGTTACTTAAGCGGCTACGGTGTATTCGGAAAGCTAATTTTTCAACGAAAATGTTGTTATCTTATAGAAAATTTAATGTGTTTTATGAAATAAAGATCAGTATTGTGTATTTTAATGACCCTAAAGTATAGAAATTACGATTTTACGGGAAAAAACGCTATCGAATTTAGACTAAAATCACAAAAATGTTAATATCCCAAGTAAGAGTTAACATAGAAACCTCGTTCTTGTGGCACTTAATTAAGTTTTATTTAGTGAATCCAACGCGGCATTATTGACATTTAACCACATAACACCCTTTATAATGATGACAGACTTACAGATAGATAGATAAATGGCTAGCATGGCTAATAGATAAATATAGAGAATTAACGATATATAAGTAGATATAAAGATAGAATATTCGACAGATAGATAAATAAATATAGTGATAGACCATTATATAGATGTATAGATTGACAGATAAATAGATAAATAGATAAATAGATACAATGGTAGGTCGATAAAAATATATAATGGTAGTTAAATCAATAGATAGGTAATTAATCTTTATGAAAGGTATTGGTTGAAAAGAAGTTAGTGTCACGAGCGGGATTCGAGCTAAGCTAAGCCGAAGGTCGTGGGTTCGAATCCAACTCGTGACACTAAATTTTTCTTTCCAACCAATACCTTACATAAACATTAATTAATTGAAATAAGTTATTTGGTCAATCGGACCACAAAATATAATGGATTAGATAGGTATAATGTTAGATAGGTTGATACGTTAATAGATATAAAGCTAAAATGTAAGACGGATAAATAAATATTATATAAATGAATAGACTGATAGATAGAGAGATACAATGGCGGACAGATAAATAGATAGAATGGTAGATAGATGAATAGATTGGTGTAATGATAGAGTGATGTGTTATAATATAGAATATATATAACATAGATATAATGATAGAATAACAGATAAATCGACAAATATATGTAATATAATTATGGAATATGGAATAAATATGTTAGTAAGTAACGTGACACAAAATGAATATAAAATAACCAGACAAATTAGAATTAAAAATACAACGTATATAGTATTATATATATAGATTTATGAAAACATTGAAACAATAGATAGTAGGCCGAATAATGAGAGAGAGAGAGAGAGAGAGAGAGAGAGAGAGAGAGAGAGAGAGAAATTATGATAAATTAAGAAAATCAGACTATTTAAAAAAATTGGATTAGACTTAGATCTAGTAAAATGTAAGAAGAATTTGTCTATTATAATTTATAATTTGGTTGTTTCCAACCATTTTGGTCTGCCTGTTCTATCTGGGCTGGTCTGTCAGTACCATTTAGGCACTTCACCGTCTTCAGTGTGCGGTCAACAGAATATGAACCACTTATCAAACCAGCGAGGGTAGACAGAGGAAAATGATGGTAACGACCAATTTATAAATTATATTAGCTAAATTTTTATAAGATAATACGTGTTTTTATGTTTATTTATGAGATCTTAATTATTTCGTGGTGTTTACCAAAATTTTACGTTTTGTCTCGTTTCTAGACAATCAGCGGATGGCGTTCCTCTCTCGTTCACACTACAGCTGAAAAATTGCAACATGTTTGTTAAATTCAATTAGGAAGATGTCTAAAAGCCATATGCTTTCCGTTTTGCACTATTTTATAGCAATCGCACACGAAATTTATATTTCTTATAGTTTTTTTTACATCAGACCTGTTCGCGTTAGATGAGAGTATGAGAAAGATGAGGAGATACATTGCGTCCGGCCTTTCTCGATACACTGAACTAACTGTGAAAGTTTATAAGAAAATAGTTCGTAAACTAAACAAAACCATCAATTAAATATGTATTAAATAAACAGTCTTAAATGGGCTTTGACATGGGAACCATAGAAATTTACGACTTTTTTTAAACTGTTTTCTTTTCAATCGAGAAAATCGTTTGTCGATGCGCCATAAACATTCAGAGATCGTTTAGATTTAAAATACATCGTGTATTTTGGTATTTCGTCCATGATTGCATAAATAAATATAATTTGTTAAGACACTTGAAACCCATTAAAATTAAAAAGGTCAAGTAAAAAAAAAAAAAAAAATGTAATGAAATGACGACTAACAGCGAATAAATTTAATGCTTTTAACTAATACATGTGCTTTCCAATTGTTTCATTCTTATCTCTAATAAACTCTCTAGCTTTTTTGAAAAAAAAAGTGACTTAGTTTTTTTAGGTAATTTTTCATTTTACTTGTTTAATTTTTAATCTGGTCAAAATTTCTTCCTTTGCTCTCTTGCAAACAGCGGCGAAACAACCGATAAAGCTGAATTTGAGTAAAATGTCGACGAAAGGAAGGAGGAGGACGACCAAAGCTGGTACGAGTGCGGAAAAGGCGTGGTGAAAGAAGCTGCGACCTACCATCGTGTAGCCGTATCCTTCGCTTTTTGTGCAATGGAAGAAGTAGAAGGCGACGAAGTTGTTTAAAAACAGGTACCACTCAATAGTCGACCGAAGGCTGAGCCCTAAGTGCATGTACATGGTCGAGAACAAGACGCATAGAACGATCAAAGGTATTAGCGTTTTGTAAATGATCAACAGGGTGGTTTCAAGTCTTTTGAACGATAGTAGGAAGCAGTCTGTCCAGTATATGTTGTAGGAAAACGGATTGTCTACATTTCCGATAGCGTAGTAACCGATCCAGGTGTACGTCAACAGCATGAAACCCCTTCTCAGGTCGTCCCTGACCAGACCGTTTTCGTTTTCTCCTGCGGGAGTCTCTAAGCTTTTGGACGATTTCCTGGTCTCCAGGCAAAACCAGGCTAGCAGATTGGCGCAGAACGCGGCCAAGCCGGCCGCTTCGTGGCGTACGCTCATGAGGATGAAGGTAGACGCCATGGCGTAGCAGACGTGCAGGAACCGGATGAACCCGTTGACAGAATTAAACGCCATAAAAGGAGCGGAGTACAAAATCATCCACGACCATGTGACATGTTGGACCTTATCGGAAAACAGTTCCTCTTCGTTTTTCTGTTCGTAAATCGAAATAACATTCCATTGAGCCACGGCCAAAGTGAGGAGCAGAGCGATCGTCACGAAGAAATCTCTATTAATTTTTCTATAGTAATATATATGCAAGCAGGCTATGAAAATCCACGTGATTCCTCCCAGTTTTATCAAATTATTGTCTGGGGGAAGGTCTATGACAGGTGAATCCATGAAAAATATGAGTAGCGATGATGTCACAAACCACGCTGCGTGTATGACCATCTCGGCCTTTTCTCTCGTCAAGTAACAAATAATGACGGATATCAAAATAAAGCCCGCCTGCCTCATGTATGGCACATTTACTCCAGTGACGACTGCGATTGTGCAAACGCTCGTGACCAGAGCCCAAATCGCGTTATGAACGTTAATACCTTTGAGTAAGCAAAGGTCTCGTAAGGCGCGTATGTGCTTGATTACCAGCCACCAGATAATCGCGATTGTAGCTGCGTAGATATTGAAGTATACGGGCCAATTCACTCTGTGCGATACTAGAATAAAACCGATGATAAACATCAAGAAAAACAAATCGACTATCAACATCAACCCAGTACAGCTTTCACCGATAAATCTAACCATGTCGTGTAGGATATTTTTTTCAGTGGTACAACTCGACAGATCTTCCGTTCCGACTTTCATCGCAATTAAACACCTTTCGAATAACAGGAGTCCCCATCCAACGTAGATGAATGACATTATCCACAACATTTCGTTTTTGTAATAACTACGGAAATGTGATAGTTGTCTTCTGTAAATTTTGTGAAGGAGGTTGGCCAGACGGACGGTTTCGGACTTGATCTTTTCGGCAACCGATTGGTTCAATTTTTGTCTTGTTTCCGTGAGGTTTAAACCGGAATTCGTGGGACTCTCGAGCAATTCGAAATCGCCGGTGGATTTCGCTTGTTCCAAAATCATGTTCCAGATTTGTTTTTCGTTACAGTACAAGCTGTCGATTACGGTCTCGTCGTCGAGGTCTACCATTTCTACAGGAAGCAGGCCGCAGGAATGGGTCGGAGCCGGGTTCCCGAGAAACACCGATATGAGGGAAGCTATGTCGACTTGTTTGATATTGACGAAAGAAAGATTGTCCGCTTTCCAAACTTCGGTAATCGCGTTTTTCGGCTGCTTGAGCCCACCGCCTCGCTTGACTCCTTTTCCCCAAGCCATGATGGGCGTTTTGATCTGCATGTCTTCTCCGCTACCGTGGTATCCAGACTGTGACATACCGTGATCCGAAGTCAGGATAAAAGTGGTTTCGTTATCGCCGTAGAACTTTTTGAACGCCTCGTCAACCATTTCGATGTTTCTATCCATGTTCTTGACAACATCGATGCAATTCTGGGAGAAGGGAAGAAAAAAGTGACCGCAGCTGTCCGAACCGTCGAGATAGATGACAAAAATCGTTTTGTCACTGCGCAAGGTCACATTGAGATTTTCATTGGCGAAGAAATCATGAACTCCTTGGCAGGCGAAATCGTCCAATCTATGGTAGTCGTCGAATAACCTCTCCTCGAATTGAGTGTCCCAGACCTTAACGTGCCACCGTTTGGTGGTATCGGGGTCGAAGAATCTGGTGACCTCCGGATCCCCGCTGAAGAAAACCTGGTTGGCGTGGTTGAAAATCATGTCGACTTTGACGTCTGCCATTTTGGCGTGAGTCCAATGCGCCCTCCAAGAGTCGAAGTCGTTGCCGGATGTGATGGCGTACAAAGCCGGCTTGGAAATAGAAGGGATGTGCGCTTCGGATACTCCCCATGTGCCGGCTCCTTCCACGATCTTTCGAAGGAAAGAAGGTCTCGTCCAATTTTGCGCAGTGACGTTGTAAAGGAGTTGGGCACTGAGGCCGTCTGTCAAAATCAAGACGACCCTCTTCGAACTGGCGTTCAACCTCTTGTTGCATCCCACATTCTCGGTCAAGTCGAAAGACATATAGTGAACATCGAAAACGGAATAGCAAAACAGAAGATTAATAAACACTGAAAAAATTAAAATCATCATTTTTTTGGAAAGGACAATCTACCCGCTAATGTTTCGTACAATATGACTAAACTAATGTAAATCAAATGTGCATAAACATGTGTTTTGGTCGCAAAATTAATAATTTCAAAATAAGTTTTCATTTTGGTTTGATTCATCATACTGGCATTTGCTAAGAATTTCTGTTCCACAAAAGCCTTCGAGACTGTTCTCGTTGCAAAACCTGAGAAACGAACCATGCGAAGTATGCAATCAAATAAACCTGCTGTATTAAAATTTTATTTTTATTTCTGAGACTACATATCTTATAATATTTTATATCCTTTTAAAATCATTTCCTTTCTTTTTCTGTTTGTTCTAATTGTACATACTGATACGAAGTTGTTTCAAGCCCTTAGGACAAAATAAACCTAATTTCCTATATCGCATGTTCCATAAGTTATCATTTTATATTGTTATGGTCTGAAATTAATAATGTAGTATGGAAATGTGCGAGAAAACGTTAAGAAGTCGAAAAAGTTAGCTTGTAAAAAGAAAAAAAATGTGGGCACCGGATTAACAAGAAGGCCTCACGGATCGCCGAGGCTCCCACGAGGCAGCCGGGCCAATGAAAGGCATTTAGGGAGATCATTAGCCAGAGTGACACAAGTTATAATGCCTTTTCAGAGGGGAGACGAGTTTATCATAAATTTATATCTCCGGTGCGCATCATCGGCTACGTTCCGATCCGACTCACGACAGCTTATTTAACTCCCCCGAGGCCGCATAACTTGGCTTCGCATTCCTCGAATTTCCGAACTATGAGAAAATTCTTGGCGCTTTCTCTGGATTGTAGCAAAAGCCGTAATTTACAACAAACCCCGGCTTATTTAAATCTGTATAATGTGATCACGAGATACGCTGCTAAAATTACTTGAAAAATTAATTTGAGACAATTGCTGTTAAAAGAAACCTAACTCTAACCGGTCGGAATGGACACAAATATGACAATCTATTCATCACTTTTCTTACCAAATCAATTTTAATCAGACACAAACTTTAAAGAGCCTTATATACGCTCAATTAAACTCTCAGATTTATACTTTGGAATCTGAACGATTAACTGAAGTAAATGCTCAGACCTATCCGGCAAAACATTTAGAATGAACTCTGGAACCTCAGTGTGTCCGGTAAGTTGACAGTTCTATCAATTATCCCAGTATGGAAAAATTTGCCGATTGGAAAACTGAGAGCATTCGATAAAACTAAAAGCCCGGTTTTGCATTATCTAGCTCTGTACGGTGAAACATCCGTAGCGTGTGAAAGCAGAATAGCTGGTGCAAGGTCACTGTGTTCTTGAAAACAGCACGGCAATATACTAGTACAATGACATACAGTGGATGATTGCTTCACCGTATGGTGACTCGTCAGAAGCGTGTGAAAGCAGAATAACTGGTGCTAGGCCACTAGTTCTTGAAAACCGCACGGCAGTATACTAGTATAGCGACATGCAATGGACGACTGTTTCACCATATGGGACTCCTCTGAAGCGTGTGAAAGAGAATAAGTGGTGCTAGGCCACTGTGTTCTTAAAAACAGCACGGCAGTAGACTAGAATAATGACATGCAGTGGACGACTGTTTCTCCATACGTTTGAAAGCTACCGCCCAATTTTTCAAGCAACCATAGGATCATCATATCTACCGTACAGAGGAATCTGTAGCGTGCGATATGCTATCATCCACAACCTCCACAGTGTTTTGAAGCAGTTTCGAAAAGGCAAATTTCTATTTTTTTTTTACCTATGCTGACTTCAACAACAATGGAAACTGATATAACTTAAGTGTGACTATACACCCTCGTTTCAGGGAAAAGTTCAGTTTTTGTAAAAAAATGTGGTTATTCCACAACCTGATATTGCCAGAAACCTGGGAAACACTAAAAATATGACAGTCATTGAACATATTGAATACAATTTTTTTTTAAAGGAAAACCTTTCCAAAACCAACCAAAACCCATCATCAACAAAAAGACTAGATTAGTGTATCTGATATTAATTCGTCTCGTAGGATATTGCTACCTTGTTAAGTTAATAACTTAGTAAGTAGTAAGTCCACTAGCCAGCGGCGGCCATATAACCTGGAGAAAGGTGCTGCAAAACGGAATCCTATCTAATCCATAAGAAATGCATAAACATAGTTCAAATGTAATATATTATAATAAAACAATAACAATAATACAAAATATAACAAATAATAATAAAACATAGTTCAATGCTCCTTACTATGTTAGGATACTAGCCCATACCAAGATGAACTTGGACATCTCGGAGGTAAAAACCTCAAAACATCTATCCTTTACAAAATTTCTACCCAAAATCCAATATTTAATGGCTGACTGCTGGAATACCAAGGAACGTCCAACTTTCCAGCACAAGTCTCAAATTAAGAGTCGATCTCCCAGAGACATTGAACACAAGAATAAATGAAGTTATATAAAAAGTTTCGTGCAATAAAAAATTACTATATCAGAAGTTAAAATAATTACAATTAGTTAATGAAGGGCTGTTGCTCGACAGAATCCGCTTACATGTGCTAAGCTCTGGTGTAAGTAATAATGTATGGTATCAAAATAGTGTTATGTAATGCTTAACGTTTAAAAAAATACACCCAATGGAAATAAATGGTTACAATAATTTGTAGCAATAAAATATAAACAACTATTATGTCGAATAATATTCGCTGAAATGAATAATAGGTCTTCGTCAGTTCTCATACTGATTCGATTGTCCTGAAAAGCTAAATTTAATATCAATAAACTCATTTCTTAAAATCGATAGATTTATAAACACTTTGTATTTGTTTACGGACACTTTTTCCTTCTATTTCAGTCCAACTTTCATTACGATTGTTCTCGCATATGACTTGATTTTCTTCACGCTGAAATTAAGGGTTGTCAACAATGACGCTATCGGGTAGACCACCACCATCAGAATGGAGAGGATTTGAGCTGCTATGTGCATGAACAGGTTTTGATCTGCTTCTGGAGTTTCGTGATCGTTTCCGACTTGCAAGAAAAAGAATAGCCCCGCTAAAGTATTCAGAAACAGATAGACTTCGATCTGTGAAAATATTCTCAAACCGAAGACTTTAGAAATGGTCTGAAACACCGAATGCAGGATGATGCAAGGTATCGATATTTTGTATAGGTTCAGACCTATGGATTCCGAGAGGGAGATATCGTTGTCGAAACTCTTCAGAAACTTTAGATTAAAGAAGTTATGTGGATGCATCATTCCGGATAAAAATATGCCGATCCACGCATAAACTACGAGCAAAAATCCGAATCGGATATCTTTTGAAGTCATGTAAGAAGAAGTTTGTTGGGGTTCTATAGCGGCCGTCGGTGGCACCCCCTCGTTCAGCAGTTCGATGGCGTACCAGCACAATAGATGTACCGAAAATCCCAAAAGACCCATAGATTCTTGGTAATAAGTCATTATAAGTGCCGGGCAAGCAAGTGCGAAGCATATATGGAATATTCGGTAAATACCTTCCTGTGATGCCATTATAGGGAAGAATGGTACAGTCGACACGAGAATCCAAGATATAACCTGATTTGTGTAATTAGTGTGTTTGTATTCTATTAATGGATTGACAGACACTATTGCTAGTGCAAAAAGCATGGAAAAGGTCCACAACGAGTCCCTTATTGTCGGCTGTTTGAAGTAAAGGTACACAGCGATAAATGTTATCCAGCTAATTACTGACAGTTTTGGAATGTTCCACATGATGAAATCGTTAAGGGCGATTACCAATATCATGACCAACGAAGATAAAAACCAAGGCGTTTGGATATAGCTCGGTGTGTTACAACTGTTGCGGTCTCTATACGGCGTGATGGTCATGATCATAATCATAAACCCGACTGACCGTAAATATTGGATGTTCAGAACCATCACTAACGCGCCCAATACCGAAATGCCAATCCATTTACCGACTTCGACGTAATTGGCTCTTTCTTTGAAAATGACTAAAACAATGGAGAGACTCTTGCAGACTTTCCACCAAATGGCATCGAACATAAGAAGATAGACAAGGAAGTGTAAGGGCCAATTTTGAAAATAAACGAAAATAGTTATTAGACACGCTTTTAGTATTGCAGAAACATCCCAGAAAATACCTAGCATTGTGTAATTTCTGTTGCAAAACTTGCGGTTCAAAGTCATTTTGCTCCAGACGGTCGATATGGATAGATTCTTACCCAAAGCGGCGCTCTCCTGCTCCACCCTTTTCGTCACCAAAGGGTTCACTGCGGATAAGATGTTGCACAAGAGCAATAAAGACCAAACTATGAACGTCGACACTAGGACGGTTTTCAATGTCCAACAGAAGTAATTTCTGTAAAAACTTAACGAGTTTAAATAAAATGAAGTGATTTTTAAGAAGACGTCTGTTGCATGTGTTAAATTGCCTTCTGCCACTGATTTTTGTTCTTCAAAAAGTCTGGTCAAGTTCGGTTTTACAGGCTCGAGAGGGAAGAGGGTTATCAACCCTCTCTTGATAGCACGGCTTTCGCTTTCAAGAAGTGCGCCAAGTTGTTCTTGGTTGCATAACACCGCGTTCCTCCCTTTCGTATCCAAGAGGGTTTGATGCAAAATGCCGTTCGATCTTGACGGTATCGGTACACCCAAGAGGGTAGATATAAGGACTGCCAGATCCGTCTGATTCACGTCTATCCTCGGAAGGCCGTTTGTATTCCATGCCTCGCTTGAATTCTTGACGGAAGCATCTGAAGTTTGTTTGCGGATACCCGCACCAAACGCTAAAAATGGAGTCTCCGTAAGACTCGTGTTGTCCACTCCAAGAGAAGTAATTATGTAAGTAGTCGCACTGTCGTTAAAAGCATCTTTCAATGACCAGTAGGTGTGCGATATAGCCCAATCGGTATAGTGCACCAAATAATGTGGGTTAACATACTCACAGTAGGATGCGGTGTCAACAAGAAATAACACTTTATCCTCTGATAAGTTATAATTCGGATTCTTCAATAGATCAAAACTAGTCTCATTCAGTCTGACCGTTGTCCAGTTTTTACTGGAGGGACGTTTGAAGTCCTTCTCCCTGTCTCCGATATAGACTACTTTGTTCACATGATCCAAGACGCTTTCCTTGAACCTCGGTGGAAGGTTTAGGTTGGCCCAGAAACCCGCTCCGTCGTAATTAGTGCCTGTCACGAGGGACTGAAATTTGGCTTTGGAATTGTTCGGATGAGAAATGTGGGAAACTCCCCAAACTCCGTTCTTCATAATCCACCTGGCGAAGGAGTTGCTCAAATTAACACTCTCCTTGTAGAAGGTGTCCGCACCCATGTGATCTCCGAAAATCAAAACGACCCTTTTTGACAGGCTACTTACGTTATATTTGCACGTATGGGGCTCCATCACGGAGTCGTACATACCCCTGAAGTAGATGTCCACGACGGAATAAAAAAGCACTGAATGCACTATAAGAGCAAACCAAAAAATCATTTTTTTCTTAAGAAACAAAGAAACAACTCTTCCAATAATTTTCTAAACAAACACTCATAAGGTTATAACATGTGGGCGTCGAACCAGTCAAGGCAGATTTTCACATATGTTACTTTAAAACACTATTTAATTTTAAATGGAATTAATAAAAAATGGTACGTGGGATGATAGGCTGTAAATAGAAGAAATCATCGTAGAATCATCACAGTATCAATTGTTCTTAATAATTTATTGATGGACATATAGAAGCAAGAATTGGGAAAAGACTTAAGCACATTGTTCGCATGTCTTCCGCCTTCTCTTTTTGTTTATCGAATATTATTGGTTTAAATTGATTTATAATTTTTATGTAAAATGTGGTTGAGATGAAAAACCAGTGTCACGAGCGGGACTCGAATCCACAACCTCAATTCACAATTAAACAATAGTCAATACTAAGCACCAAACACTAACTTACGAACAAGACTAATGCCACTTGAAGCACACAACATTACACCATGATAAAGGAGAACTTACTTGAAAGCTTGCAATACTTAAATGATTTGTAATTGATTTAATATAAAAATTTACAACTTGAACACTTTCAATAACAAAATACTAATCAACATTTAAATAAAGTCATATCTAACCGGCCAAGAACGGTTGAGGACAACAAAATTCACAATAATTATCGTACATGGGTCACATTAAGAAGATTTAGGAAAAAAAGGACTTATTTCTTTAATAGAGAAAACCCATTTCAAGCATACTAACAAAAGTTGTCAGTAAGTAAGGAAATTAAACCAATTTCACCCTTCATTTTCCTTAAATGTTGAAGGCTAACCCTAAAGGGCTTCCAGGGAAGGGCATTGTAATCCTGGAAATCTCTTGAAGAAAGGGCGAGTATCAGTTGCAGAATGAGTAATGCTAGAGCAACAGCTCCTTATGAAAAGAATCCGCAGGCCTGAGTAGAAAAAGGGGATTGACTACCGTGAAAAAGGGCCCGCTAATTTAGGCATAGAGATGCGCTATTTTGTGTCCGAGTCCACCTTTTCGGGAGGATTAGGAGCACTTAAGTTGGACAATTGTGACATTGGACGTCGAGGATAAAGGATGGCCGTCTCTCGGCCAAAAAGGCCGAATGCAGGAGAAATATCGCTTCGGTGGGCAACTAAAATAAAACGGGCGATTTTTTTCCCCGGTGCCATCGCACAAGCGGACCTCCTCAATGGAACGACTAATCCGCCGAAAGTGCTCGCAAAAGTCCCGATTCACAGTCAAGAGGCCGTTTGGATGGGAGAATACAAAAATACTCCTCATTTCTTAAAAAAAGCCGTTGTAGAAAATCAAAAGAAACAAACCCACCACTAAAAGTGGTGAAAAATGAGAAGCCGAAACGCGTACGAAAAACCAAAACAGCAGGAAAAGCGGTGACGTCCCAACTAAACTCACCCCTTAGAAAAATGTGTGTCCCACCCAGTTGAGGGGTGCAGTTCCTTGGTTCCATATAGAGAGCGTGTAGGAATGCCACTCGATGTGAGAATCGTGCTTAAGCATAGCAGGTCTCTTGTTCCGATTTTTGAAGGAAACAGTGTTGTTTTATTTTATATAGTAATGATAAATTTTTCTGTACATAGCGTGTGTTGAGAGTGAATGTATTTATTAGCGAGAATGCACTTATTATGGTGAATGTGTGGTGTGAGAGGGTCGATGGCGGACTATTGAGTACCCAATGACCCTCAGTTAGGCATATGGGCGATGGAAGAATATCGAGTACCTCCACTCTAATTGATTGATAGGATAGGATGATGAATGGATGATAGGATGATAAAATGAATGATAAGAGAGAATGTATTTAAGGATGAACGTGAGTATGAATGGGTTCGGCTCTCCTCCCCGTGGCTGAACGGATAAGACCAATCAGTGGAAGTAGCTATTTTATCAACGTTTAACTATGATTATAACGGCTAGTTTATAATAAAAAAATTAATAAGTATTAATGTTTTATGGACTTGTTTTAGAAAGTTCCTCGTTTAGGTCGCGAGGCTATCTCCGGTTCAGTTGTCTGGTGAGATTATAAGGGTGGTTTCTATGGATAAGAACTGGGCAACTCGACTGGTATGAGAGGAAAGGGGTTTTGAGGTAATTCTGAAGGGTGTTGTTAGAGACGTAGTAGGGACTATTGACTGGTTCTGAGGGCTTTTGATTGGAAGGACCTATACTTTGGATGTTGGAATGTTTAGCGGTGCCCGGCAGTTCTAGTCCGGGTGTCCAGATTGTCTTGAAGATTGTCAGTCTGTTTTTCGTTGAAACGCTAGATTTGCGTGACAGTAGTGTTTAGAGTCTTCAAAAACGTTGATTTAGTGTTTGTCGTTATAATCGTGAATTTGGTTTTATGTTACTCTTGAGTCTTGATAGAACCCAAGGTAGAGGGCGCAGTCTGCTTTTGGGATGGGAGTATTATTGAGGAATATTGTATGAGGGCTTTGCTTCAAAGGGCTTTAATATTAAATAATAATAATAATAAATCTTTATTTGCAAGAATGTACATTACATATAAATTTATAAAAAAAAATAACATTTTGGTACATTCCTGCCTGCTGTCAAAAAGCAAAGCTTGTCCTAGACAGCAGGAGTTTTTGGAGATCATCGGATAAATGAACAGATTGTATCTTTGCAAAATTAAAAACAAACAAATAAACAAACATAATACAGAATAAACCTGAAGCGTAAAAAAAAATTAAACAAAATTAAACCTTGGCTTTAAAATATCTTAACTACAATTTAAAATTTTTGAAACTGTAATTTTTTTGCGATCTTTGTAGTTGTTGAATTGTTTCTTGTGTTATATTCACTGATGTAAGTAGTTACAAAATTATATATATATATATATATAATTTTGTAAAATTTTTTCGTATTATATCTATACAGTTTATGTAAAATAATTTTAAGAAGAGTTTATAGATCTCCAGAGTTTTAGTGCAGCATTTATTAGTACCTCCCCAGGAAACAATATATTGGTACTTTTGCTTCCTTGAGCTTTAAACGCCATGTTTGCACCATTCGGCTATCTGCAGGACATGTGCCCGGAGCTGGATGATGGCAGAATTTTGTAGTCGGCAAAGGATGGAAGGATGTTGGGGGTGAATTGGGATATCGGCAGTATAAAGGAGGTAATGGATCGGTCCAATTATGCTGCCTTGAGATACTCGCGTTCCCAGAGGGCAATAATCCTCGTAGACCGATCCTTGGCAGACTCTGAACTATCGTTTGGTTCTATAGGAACGAAGGATAATAAAGATAGAAATGATGAATGATGGTGTGAGTGCGGTGTTCACTCCTTTTTAAAAAGATAGTTCCTATTCTCAGTAAGTTGTTTTGCAACGATCCGGATTTCGATCCCTTTTCACCCTGATGATGAGCTCAAGGCTCGAAATCCGGATTATTGCAAAACAACTTACTGGAGTAGGAACTATCTTTTTAAAAAGGATAATAAAGTATATTTGGAAAGCTGCGCTTTAATTTATATAGATAATTCATATTATTCATTTATACAGGTTCTTCATTCCACCCGCGAACGATATTGTGTTATTTTATATTATATATCATTCATGAAAATACAGACCTTAAAATAAAAAAAAATATTATTATAGTTATTAATATTATTAAAAATGGACTATTATAGTTCCCTGTCAAATAAAAATCGTTATTAAGTTGCTGAAGTTTTTTTTTTAGATTTTTGTCATAATCGGATCAATATATTTGACAGGAGATACAAGTCTGTTAAAATAAAGGAATATAAAGCAAAAGCCGTTTGATTAAGGATTAAAAATTCAGGACGAAAACAAATGTACAACGTGATAACTTTGCCTTTACATTTGCCTGAAGCATGGTGATTCCTTATATCGAAAATTCGATTGAGACATTTTGAGTTTAAGGACTGATTAAAAAATAAAAATTTGGGACATTTTATCTCTATTTGTAAACAACATCAGCCTTGCGAATATCTCAAAATGGATTTTCAAATGTTTCTTGTTTGTCAACACGTCGGAAAACAGCCAGTTAACGTCTCGGTCGTTGTTATGGAATCGGCGAAATTCACTGGATTCAAATATTGTAAGTAATTTTCATCTTTTATTTTTAGTTTGTTTATTAAAGAAATGACCCGGGAGAAGATGAACGGTAAAGAATTGTTGTTTTTTATTGACCAGCTTGGACAGAAATGCTAGGAGTTTCCTTTTAGAACTGGAATAGCATAAATAAGGATTAAAAAGTCGGTTCCGGATTATTAAAAATGTAACCTGCCCAGCCGAGTACAGTGGCTCCACTGTTAAGACACACGTGCACGCGCATTAGACGTACACGCGCGCGCCGAAGCACACAAATTTAACAAAGTACTCTCACAAATACTTAAATTTTTAATTAGTTCAATATACTTTTGCTTTAAAACGAGCGTTTTCCTGTCATAAAAAAGGAAGAATAGACAAACACATTATTTGAACAATTATGAAATTTTTGAACAGTTTTATTCCCAAAAATGTCTTACAATCCAGCGATGATGATCGGCAGACCAAAATGGTCTGTAATGATCAAATTTCAGGTTGATCAGCCCGCAGATAACGTAGAGAAATCTCCCAATTTAACAAGAAATAGGTTAAATTCCTTACAATTTAATTACGATAAATCAAAACGGTTAACTTTTTCTAAAGTTTCAAATTCTTTCTAGCCCTGACGATAAAATATCTCAGATATTTTACCCAAACTAAGTCATTTCATTTATAAGAAAACGTTGGTGTAATTGTAGAACATAATTTTAAATGAGCCCTTACAAATACAACAAATTCTGTAATATACAAGTTCATTGCCTTTTTAATTTTCATACTTTAGTAACAATGAGTTTACAATTATTATGCACAATTTAATTACTTACTAGTGAAATTATACTATATTTTTTTTCGTTTTGTTATTATGTAGTTAAAAAAAAATTCTTTAGGGGCAATTTGTTTAAATAAATTATGCATATAAATATAGAAAACAAAATTAAAATGGATCTCACTTTATCATTCATATGTATTTATATTATCTCAGTTTTCAATATTTTGTGAAGCTTAGCCAGCTATAATTCCATCCACTTTGCCTGGAAAACTACATAAAATATTGAAACGTGAGGTAATTGACAAGGCAAACAACATCATCAAGGATCATTTTATATTCGAAAAATAAAAATTGATAATTTTTTAATTCATGGCGCCACAATACACCAAAATTCGGTAAATTTTTTTTTAATCGGTACAACTCATAAAGTAAAAAGTAAACTAATATTTTTATCGGTAGGTACTATTTTTACATGCATTGTATTTATAAATATTATTTGTATAACTTACAGCAGCCAAGAATTATTTGAACCTACAAAAAGATGAAACTTACTACTGATGTAAAAATGGAAATAGTTGTTTCTTTTGATCGAAATAAATATATAAAATAATTTACATAATTTTTAAATGTGTTCTGTCTTTGTTTCAAGGATAGGTAAAATACGTTAAAAATATTTTGTGTAATTTACATGTAGCGTTCTCTAAAAAATTCAAGAAGTGAGCATTTTAAAGGAAAAAATGAAACATTATTGAGGAGAGAGAGAGAGAAAGAGAGAGAGAGAGAGAGAGAGAGAGAGAGAGAGAGAGAGAGAGAGAGNAAAGAGAAAGAGAGAGAGAGAGAGAGAGAGAGAGAGAGAGAGAGAGAGAGAAATAGAAAAATAGGAAGGGAGATTGATTGATTGATTATCGCTTTATTTAACAATCACTCAAGGTTTGATCTCTAAGACCACTCTTTCACCTAAAGTGAAATTACAGCAACTCTACTCAATCTACTATAAATAACAAAGTTGAACAAATTAATTATCTCTTACAATCTTTAAATAATAACAAACGTAACTTTTATCAGGAGAAAAAACTAACAACGTATATTATCAACATCTTAACATGACAATCTTTGTACTTAATTGAGGAAAAAGGGAGAAAAAAATTAATATTACAGTTTAATATTTTTACACATATTTTGATATAAAACAATTTTTTAGTATTTTTTCTAAACGTACTTATTTTGTTACAATTCTGAATTTGAACTGGTAATTTTGAAAACACTGTTGCACTTTTAATTGTAAATGAATCATTAAATATTGGGGTTCTATGTTTTATAATTTGTAATTGCTTAGTTTTATATCTAATGTTCTAATGTTTATATTATTATTAGGAGAGAGAGAGAGAGAGAGAGAGAGAGAGAGAGAGAGAGAGAGTGAGAGAGAGAAATAGAAAAATAGGAAGGGAGATTGATTGATTGATTATCGCTTTATTTAACAATAACTCAAGGTTTTTTTATTTAGAAATCGTGAGATGCAATCTGGTGTGATGTAGGTTTCCGAAAAACATTTTCTTTATCGTGCCAACGTTTCGATATTCATTGAGATCATCTTCAGGGCTCAAAGTGTTTGTCTTCTGTGTAATTGTGTCATTCTTGCGTGTCGTGTCGAGAGTGCCAGATGTTTTTCTGAAACCTACATCACACCAGACCGCATCTCACGATTTCTAAATAAATATCGATTAACGGTCACTAATCACCACACAAGTCACTCAAGGTTTGATCTCTAAGACCACTCTTTCACCTAAAATGAAATTACAGCAACTCTACTCAATCTGCTATAAATAACAAAGTTGAACAAATTAATTATCTCTTACAAGCTATACACTTGTTTACAGTGAATTAACACATTCATAATAAAAACTAATCTTTAAATAATAACAAACGTTACTTTTATCAGGAGAAAAAAAATAACAACGTACATTATCAACATCTTAACTTGACAATCTTTGTACTTAATTGAGGAAAAAGGAAGAAAAAAATTAATATTACAGTTTAATATTTTTACACATATTTTGATCTAAACTAATTTTTTAGTATCTTTTCTAAGCATACTTATTTTGTTATAATTCTGAATTTGAACTGGTAATTTTGAAAACCCTGTTGCACTTTTAATTGTAAATGAATCATTAAATATTGGGGTTCTATGTTTTCTAATTTGTAATTGCTTAGTTTTATATGTAATGTTTATATTATTAGGAGAGAGAGAGAGAGAGAGAGAGAGAGAGAGAGAGAGAGAGAGAGAGAGAGAGAGAGAAAGAGAGAGAGTGTGAGAGATAGAAGAGAGAAAAAGAAAGAGAAAATGAGAGAGAGTGATTGAAAGAATGAGATTGTATGAGAGGGCCATAGGAAAGGACACTACCAGTTATGACCATACTAATTTTCGAGAATTTCTTTTGCACTGTCAATATTTTCTTTCGTACAGATATTACCTAGTTTTACGTTAACAGTTACAGTGTAAAGTTGGACTTATAATACTTACGTGATTATGGGGTTGAAAAATTGGAATTGGGAAGGTGTGAGACTTGTGTGAGATGCGGTTGAGCGGGATGAAGCAGATTTACGACTCGGCCATTTGATATAGACGTGTTCCAGATATAAATAACCCTTTGATGGTTAGGCCTGGAAGCTGAGGTGGCTCTATTAATGAGACAGACCACCCAGGGACACAACCGCCATCTTTACTTGCACCAATCCCACACTTAACAATTTGTTTTTCAACTATGAAACAACATAAATTTCCACGCGTTATGCTGGAGGTGCCAGTGGAAATTTATGTTCATTAAATAATTCTTTTTTTTTTAATTAACAACCTAAAGATCGTTCAAAAACTTGTGTATTTTGGATGTAGCTGTGATCATGGTGAGTGGGATATGTAAAAACTTATCAGTCATTTTTAAAAGAAATTATGATTATGCAATTAATAACAAATGGGAAAATGAGGGCTGGAAGAAGGTGTTTTGAGGAGGAAAAAAGTTTTGAAAAACAGGGGAGTTCTAATGGTGTTTATTTCAACAAAGAAAGAAGGGCTGTTACTTAAGTTGTAAAGGGACTTGCATTGTGTTGTACCTTGTCATGGAGGCTAACACTCCAACAGTCGAATTGTCGTTAATAAGCTTTTCGAGAAGGGCCCCTAAACCGGGCACAGGCCATAATCCAGGTTGTATTTGGAAAAAACGGATAACTCTAATTTCCAAGGGATAATCGCACTAAGTTAAAGGCTTTTTCGCGTTGTTGTCTACTCCGGGCGGGCGACGGCCAGATCAAAGGTGCGAGGGAGGCGCCTACCTCCGACACCACCGGATGAACAAGAAATGATTTAAAACGGAGAGCGTGTGTGTCCAGAAACAGGTACCGGTTCATTACAGGTGGCAGTTTATGAATATAATGGCCGGCCATTTCTCCGCTTTTCATTCTTCAAATCTCTTCATTGCCTGGGAAAAGGTGCCGATTTCCTACCCCGACGTTTTCGAGCATCAGTGTGAAAAAAAGCTTTCTCAATAGGCACCCGCCCCCGTCCTCGAGTAGGAGGTCGTAAAATGGCTTTTTAACACCGGAAGTACAACTGTTTTCTTACAAATTCGTGTCAACGTTTTTAAACAATTTGTCAACGGGTTGTTAGAAATGGGTAGAATGTACCTGACGTTTTAATAATCTAATGGTTAGTGGGATTTGCTGACTTTTTAAACATCAGTTGACAAATTAATTAAAAAAACGAAATGAAATTTTGAAATTTAATGCTTTTAAATCGCCACCAGATCAGGGTCGGCAAACTGTAGAAAAGGCCCTAATCGTTAACCAAATATTATACACACTTTTATATACAGGGTGAGTCATTTTTTGTCGCACCATTGGAAAATCAACGTGGGTGCGTTTAAATCTGACTCGAGGATTATTTCCTTTGATTAATACGTTAATAAAAGAAAGTGAGTCAATTTTCGGTGCACCATAGGAAAATCAACGTTGGTGCGTCTAATTATGACTCGGCACATTTTATTTTGTTAGTCTCGTACCAAAAAATAGGCGAGTCACTTTTCGACGCACCATTCCTTACAAATTAGTTTTAGTAGGTTGGAAGGAAAATAAACAAAACCAATATTATTAAAACATTATTCAAACACAATGTAAAAATTTAAAAAAATTCTTCACAAATTAATTTGATTAAGGTTTAAGAGTATTTTTTTCTGGTAAAGTAAAAAAAG